CAACATCAAATGCACTAACATCCATGTTATAGGTGTCCCAGAAGGAGAAGAGAGAGAAAAGGGGGCAGGGAATCTATTTGAAGAAATAATAGCTGAAAACTTTCTGAACCTAAGGAAGGAAACAGACATCCATGTACAGGAAGCACAGAGAGCACCAAACAAGATAAACCCAAAGAGGCCCACACCAAGACACATCATAATTAAAATGTCCAGAATTAAAGATAAGGAGAGAATCCTAAAAACCGCAAGAGAAAGACAACAAGTTACATACAAAGGAAACCCCATAAGGCTATCAGCTGACTTCTCAGCAGAAACTTTACAGGCTAGAAGAGAGTGGCATGATATATTTAAAGTGCTAAAAGGGAAAAACCTACAGCCAAGAATACTCTACCCAGCAAGGTTATCATTCAGAATGGAAGGAGACATAAAGAGTTTCCAGGACAAGCAAAAATTAAAGGAGTTTATCACCAAGAAACCAGTCCTACAAGAAATGCTAAAGGGACTTATTTAAGGGGCAAAGAGAAGACCACAAATAGGAAAAATTATCTGTTTCCATGATAAGAAGGTAATGGATACAAATGCACAAAAAAGAGGTTAGATATGACATCAAAAACATAAAATGTGGGAGGAGGGGAGTTAAAGAGTAGAGCTTTCAGATAGAGGTCAAACTAAAGAGACCATCAACTTAATATAGATTGCTATATATGTAGGTTACTATAAATGAACCTCATGGTAATCACAAACCAGAAACCTATAATAAATACACAAAAAACTAAGAGAAAGGAACCCAAACATAATACTAAAGAAATCCATCAAACTACACGGGAAGAGAGCAAGAGAAGAAGAAAGGAACAGAGAAGAACTACTAAAACACTGAGAAAAAAAGTAAAAAAAATGGCAGTAAGTACATACTTATCAATAGCTACTTTAAACATCAATGGACTAAATGCTCCAATTAAAAGGTATAGGGTGGCTGATTGGATATAAAAAACAAGATCCATATATATGCTGCATACAAGAGACATGCTTCAGACATATAAGACACTCACAAACTGAAAGTGAAGGGATGGAAAAAGATACTCCATGCAAATGGCAATGAAAAGAAAGCTGGGGTAGCAATACTCATATCAGACAAAATAGACTTTAAAACAAAACCTGTAACAAGAGACAAAGAAGGCCACTACATAATGATCAAGGGAACAATCCAATGAGAGGCTATAACACTCATAAATATCTATGCATGCAAAGTAGAATACTATTTTTTAATGGGCAGGATATGTACAGATAGCATATAAGCACATGAAAATATGTTCCACATCATTTGATCATTCAGGAAATGCAAATTAAAACCACAATGAGATAATACCGTACATCTATTAGAATGACTACAGTTTTTGAAGGCTGACCAATTCCAGGATTGCCAAGGATGAGGAGCAACTGAAACTCTCATAATACGTTTGCCTGTGGCAATGTAAAATGGTTCAGTCACTTTGCAAACACAGTTTAGCAGTTTCTAAAAAAGTTAAATATATATCTATGTATACCAATCATTCTATCACTAGGTATTTACCCAAGATAAATGAAAGTATAAGACCACACAAAGACATACAAATGAATGTTTACACCAGCTTTATTTGTAATAGCCAAAAAGTGGAAACAACCCAAATGTCCATCAATTAGTGAATAGATAAACAAATTATGGTCTATCCATATAATAGAATACTATTCAGCAATAAAAAGGAATGAACTATTGATACGCATGAAAGCATGGATGAATCTCAAGCCATTATGGAGGTTTCTCAAAAACCTAAAAATAGAACTAGCATATCATCCAGCAACCCCACTTCTGGATATATATCCAAAGGAAATAAAAGCACAATCTCAAAGAGATATCTGCACTCCCATCTTCATTACAGCATCATTCACAATAGCCAAGATGTGGAAATAGTCTAAGTTACCACTGATGGATTAATGGATAAAAAAAGTGTGATACACACACACACACACACACACACAGAGGAATATTATTCAGCCACAAAAAAGGAAATTCTGCCACTTGCAACAATATGGATGAATTTGGAGGACGTCATGCTAAGTGAAATAAGCCAGACACAGAAAGACAAATAACCGTATGATCTCACTTACAAGTAGAACCTAAAAATGTTGAACTGATAGAAGCAGAGAGTAGAGTGGTGGTTGCCAGGGCCTAGTCGGGGGTGGAGGAAGTAGGAAGATGTTGGTCAACGGATACAAACTTCAGGTATAAGATGAATAAGTTCTTGGATCTAATGCACAGCATGATGATTATAGTTAATAATACTGTATCGTATACTTGAAATTTGCCAAGAGAATAGATCTTAAGTATTCTCACCAAAAAAAAACAGGTAACTATGTGAGGTTATGGATGTGTTATTTAGTTTGATTGTGGTAATCATTTCACAATGTAAACATATATCAAGTAATCACACTGCACACCTTAAATATATACAATTTTTATTTGTCAATTATATTTCAATAAAGCTGGAAAAAATAACATAATTTGACATAAACCTTTTTCCTATGGATATGTGCATATCCTTTGACCCAGATTTTTCATTTCTAGAAATCTATCCTATTGAAAAATTTACACAAATGTGCAAAAATTGATGTACAAGGATGTTCTTTGTAGCATTATTTGTAATAGCAAAAATTTTAGAGGCAACTTCACCATTAATCAATATGAGACCAATTAAAATTTATATATATATATATATTTTTATATATATATATAACAAAAGGATAAGAAGGATACCCAACAAATTATTAACAATGTTTACCACTAGGGAGTGAAGAGAAAGATTGGGGTGAAGAGATAATTTTCATTTTGTAATTTATAAACTTCTCTAAGCTAAAAATACTAAATTAAAACAAAAAACAAAACAAAAAACCTCTCTAGGATATGTTCTATGTTCAGTTATTAAACTTTTTCTTGTATTTACATTTATTACCAAGACTCCAGTGTAGGGTTACATTATTTTCAATGTAAAAATTAATAACAAAGGTTTAAATTAACATATGTCATCTAAAATTGGTTGTATGTATTTGGAGTAGACCCTTCACCTTTCCATCCCTCAGTTTCCCCAACAGTAAATCCAGGTGACTGGAAGAGACAATATCTAAAGTCCTGAATATCCAAAGTTCTAAAATTTTATTGCTTTGAATTTCTAATAACAATATTATCTAAAAGCCTTAAAAAGTTCACACTCTTTGACCTAGCAATTTCAATTTCAGTTATCTATCTTTGTCTGATGAGAGACAGAAAGAGAGAGAGAGAGAGAAAATTGTTTCTAACAGCAAAAATATTAGAAGTAACCTATACTTACATAGGTTATTGGTTACATAGGTTATTTTTTTCAAACAATTTTTTTTAATTTGTTTTTCAATCTGTTCCATAGAATAACTCACAGCCATTTAAAAAGGCAATGTGGATCTACATTTATTTACACAGAAAGCTGACTACCATATAATGTTAATAGAAAAAGGTAACAAAACTATACGCATGTGAGTCCATGTATGTTTTTTTAAAATCCTGTGTTCATGCATGTTTATACACCACAGTTTTACACACACACACACACAAATACACACACATACACACACTTATAAGTACAAGCTTGGACAAATCCTAGAAAAATATATATAAAAATACCAAACTTTGGCTCTGGGCAACGGGATTACACATGATTTTTACTGTGTCTTTATATTCTTCTGTGCTTTAAGGGAAGAAAATTATTCCCACTTTGGAGAGTTATTTTAATATAAATCTCAAAAAAAATCATATGTCAAGAAAATTAACATATAATTAACTAAGTATGTCAGAAAAAATAGAATTGCTTTTTAAGCTTTCTGCAAGTTAGGTTTATTTTATTAATTTATTTTTATACCCTCAGAAAGCTGTCATATAGTAGATGTTCAAAAAATGTTGGAGTGACTTGGAAAGATGGACAGATGGATACATGCACACTATTGCAATTTGTCAATTACTACTAGATTGCTTAGTAACATTTCATTGGTGGTCCATTTTGACTTCTAGGAATTTTCATCTATAAATTTTTTATAATAACAAATCCACTTCTGATATTTGAGCAGCCTGATACTTTCAACCTTAGAGTACTACTTTGCATTTAGGTATACTAAATTTATTTTATTTATTTTCTGATCACTCCTTCAAACTTATCTATCTCATTTTTATTCTAAACTTGTCTCTCCTCCTCAACAAGCTTGGAATGGTCTCTAAATGTAACGAGTTCTCTATTACCTACTTCTTTGATAAAGTCTCAAACACTGACGGCAAAAGAATAATTATTTTTCTAGGTGTTTAAAAACGTAATTATTATAATTTTGATTTGAATTTCCTTGAACAGTGGTGATATTTAACATATTCTTAAATTATTATTGGTTATATGTGTTATCTTTCACGTGAAATACTTGTCCACATGTATTGCCTATTTTTCTATTTCATTGTTTGTTACTGATCTGTATGAGTTCTTTACACAATCTGCAAACTAATACTTTGTCAGTTGTATGAATTGCAAATATCTTCAAGTTTGTAACTTGTCTTTTTACTTTAGGATGTCTTTTGATAAATAAAAGTTCTTTTAATATAGCTAAACATATCAAATATATTAATCTCTTCTTTTATACTCAAACGTTTTTGCCTTGTTTAAGAAATTTTCCCTATCCTATACCATTTCACATTCATGCAATTAGCAAAAAATTAAAAGCCTAAAAATACCAAATGTTTATGAGTATGTCATAATCCAATCCAATAATTAGTCAATCCAATTATGTGTACCTGAGACCCAATCTTTTAATATCATTATTGTTAATAAGAAAAAAAGATGCTTTTACAACATATTATAAAGCTTAGCTTTCCTATCATTTGTAATTAATCTTATCAACATATAACTTATATCCATGTTTGTAGACCCTTAAACTAACAATGAAAACATAAAACTTACCATCAATATCAATAGTCTTTAGTGCCTTTCGCATTTCTGAATCACTTATAGAAATCTTCAAGGTGCGATGGATCATTTGTAGATCATTCACATAAATTTTACCACTCCGAATTTTACTAAAAATTCTACAGGCTTTCTGAAGTGCTGAATACATATAACAAAACAGTTAATTAATTAAAAAGAATAATTATCCTTATTCCCCCAACCTTCTCTCAAGAAAAAAAATTACTAAAAGAAGAAAGAGAAGCAAATTTTTGTGTTCCAATTCTTTGCCTTCAAATCAATCTGGTGATTTATCTAAGTATGTCTGGAGCCAATGACCTCTAAGTCTACGAGTTTCCTAAAGAACTCTCAGAAACTGTCATAAAAGTCATGCAAGGCTCAGATAGGCAAAGGTTTCCACAACTTTCCCTGGGAATGTTAAATCCTTCTTCTGTGCTCCCACATCACTTGGTATGTATCTCAGTCAAAGCTCTCGGTATTGTGATTGCTTGCAAGTGTCAATATCCCTCACTAAACCTTTAGCTCCTAGGGGGAAAGATTTTTCAATCTTCTAGTTCTGGTTCTAATTCAGAATAGATTCTCAAAAAATGTCTGTTGAACTGAATTGGGTTTAGTTCAGTGGATACTACATTTTGTTTTCAGAAAAAGAGGCAATAGACGACAGTACTAAATACCACAGAAAAACCAAAAAATGGATAATAATGACTTTAATAATAGGAGTTTTAGTAGAGTATTAGAGGTAGAAACCAGATTTCAGTGAATTGAGAAGTAAATAAATAGAGTAATTAATGAAAACAACTCTTTCAAAAAGCTTCTCTGAAAACCTAGAGTATAAAATTGACAAAGCGTAGTCCCTGAGGAAGCAGAAGAAAATTGAATCAAAGAAAATGAGAACTGAAGGGATTAGTCTCATGAAAGGGAATCTTTTCCAATGAGACAACAGGGAAGGATGTGAATGTTGTTTATAGGAAAGTTGATGGGTAGGAACAGCAAGGAGTTAAGGAAGATTCTGCCAAACAGCCTTTATTAACTCTTTATGAAAAAGCAAAGTCATCTCTTAAGAATTGAAGGACTAGGTGATAGGACTGAGGATTTGAGGAGAGTAATGAAGGTTTGGAATAGCCACAAAAGGAAACCAGAGAGGGATCTGATCAAAACGGAAAAGGAATGCCAACTGGTGCTAAGGGCAGCTGAGGTTGGAAATCACAAACTCATAGTGGTACCAAACGGGGAGGCCAAAGAAATAAAATTGCAAATAAAAACATCTGGAAGTATAAGAGATCGTGAACAGAGAACAGGATATTAAAGTCTGAGATTTCAACCTGATAACAATGTTCAAGTTGTGGCCATCTGCACTGGTGAGAGAAACAGAGGTAAAATAATTGGTTTTGAAAAGTGTGAGGCTCGAGTATTACAAAAGTCATCCTCTTGGACACTAATGATGCCTGATATGTGGCCCAGCCCATCCAGAAAACCTGACCGGAACACCTAGGAGGCTGCTTGGAACCAGCTCTCATGCTTCTTTCAGGCAGGGGAGCTAATTCATGGCCCCACCCACTGCTGAGTGTAGCTCCCAGCTCTACCTGACCAGAAAGCCTGGATGGAACACCTGGGAAGCTGTGTAGCCCAGCAATGCTCGAGCAGAATCCAGCAGGCAAAGCTGATCATCCACAGAGCAAAGTCAGTGGCCCTGCTTGGCCAGGAAACTTGAAGTGCAGATTGGTTTGAGTCAAGACCACAAAGAACTTTTCTGGCCTTGGAGCCAGTTCTCCTGCTCCACTAATTCATAGCCCTACCCAGTGCAAAGCTAGGGGACAGTGGACCATCAGGCCAGGGAAATTAGTGCATAATTCTGCCTAATTTGATCCCCAAATGAAAGCCTTATCAATCTTGGGACCTGTATGGGACCCTGCCCAGGCAAGGAAACTAATTCATAGTCCCACAACTGCTGAATACAGCCTTCAGCCCACTGGACCAAGGAACCTAACCAGAGCACACAGGAAGCTGCACAGACCATCCTACAGCCCTCCTTACAGTGGAACTGGAACAGAGAGCACATGCCAGGGCTTTCCCACCTGCAGAGCAAAATCAGTGGCCCCATCTGGCCAGGAAACTCAGTCCACAGTCCAGCCTGATTTGGATCCCCAATAAGAAGCAGTGCAGCCCTTGGGGCCCATTCTGCTACCCCACCAAGGCAGGGAAACTAATACATGGCCTTGCCTATTGCTGAATATACCCAGTCCCAACTATCTAGGAAGCCTGACCAGAGAACCCAGGCAACTGCAGAACCCATCCTACAGCCTCACTTAAACAGGGAACTAAGCCAGCAGTCCTATCCAACTGTTCTCAGCCAGTGACACCCTCCCCCAATCTCAGAGCATGGGCAGTGACCTTGCCCCAAAATAGACCCTGATAGAAAGCCCTACTTTCCCAAGAACGTTACCAGTTGACACATCCAGAAATGAAAACTGAGCTGACTGACAAAGAATTGTCTCTGCCAAAGCAAACCTGTAAAGTCTGGAAGAGGAGACCACTTACTCAAATGCACAGACACCAATGTAAGGAATCAAAGATCATGAAAAATCAGGTAAACATGATACCACCAAAAGAAACTAATAAAGTTCCAACAACTGACCCTAAAGAAATGGAGATCTAGGGGCCGGCCTGGTGGTGTAGTGGTTAAGTTTGCACAGTCTGCTTCAGCAGCCCGGGGTTTGCAGGTTCAGATCCTGGGCATGGAACCACACACAGCTCATCAAGCCATGCTGTTAGCAGCTTCCCATATAAAAATGGAGGAAAATTGGCACAGATGTTAGCTCAGGGAAAATCTTCCTCAAGCAAAAAGAGGAAGATTGGCAACAGACATTAGCTCAGGGCCAATCTTCCTCACCAAAAAAAAAAAAAATTGGAGATTTATGAACTATCAGACAAAAAATTCAGAATAATTCTCTTAAAGAAGTTTAGTGAACTACAAGAACACACAGACAGACAACTAAAAGAAATTAGGAAAACAATGCATGGATAAGACAAGAAGTTCAACAAAGAAATAGAAACCATAAAAAAAATACAGAAATCCTAGAACTGAAAAATATGACTGAACTAAAGAATTCAATAGAGACCTTCAAAAGCAGACTCAACTATGCAGAAGAAAGAATCAATGACCTAGAAGAAAGGATATTTGAAATTATCCAGTCAGAGGATCAAAAAGAAAACAGAATTAAAAAGAGTGAAGAAAGGGACTTATAGGACACAATAAAAGGAAACATCTGCTTTATGGGAATTTCAGGAGACGAGAAAGAGAAAGGGATAGAAAGTATATTTAAAGAAATAATGGCTGAAAACTTCTCAAACCTGGGGATAGAAATGGACATTAAGATCCATGAGGCCCAAAGGACCCCAAATAAATTGAACTCTAATAGGGCTACACCAAGACACTTTATATTTAAATTTTCAAAAGTCAAAGACAAAGAAAAAATTTTGAAAGCAGCAAGAGAAAGGAGACAAACTGCATACAAGGGAATCCCCATAAGGCCACAGGCAGATTTCTCAACAGAAACTTTTCAGATCAGGAGAGAATGGGATGATATATTCAAAATTTTGAAAGAAAAAACTGCCAAGCAAGAATTCTATACTCAGCAAAGCTGTCCTTCAGAAAGGCATCAGAATTGGAAAAGAAGAATTAAAATTGTCTCTATTTGCAGGTGACATGATTTTATATATAGAAAATCCTATGGACTCCACCAAAAACTGTTAGATCTAACCAATGAATTCAGCAAAGTATCAGGATACAAAATTAACATACAAAAATAAATAGCATTTCTATAAAATATGACAAATTATCTGAAAAAATATAAAGAAAACGATCTCATTTACAATAGCATCAAAATAATAAAACACTTATGAATAAATTTAACCAAGGAGGTAAAAGATCTCTACACTGAAAACTACAAAACATTGATGAAAATAATCGAAGACGACACAAACAAATAGAAAGGTATCCCGTGTTCATGGATTAGAAGAATTAATATTGTTAAAATGTCCATACTACCCAAAGCCATCTTTGGGTAGATCCATAGATTCAATGCAATCCCTATCAAGATTCCAATGGCATTTTTTACAGAAGTAGAAAAAACAATCCTAAAACTTGTATGGAAACACAAAAGATCCTGAATAGTCAAAGCAATCCTGAGAAAGAACAAAGTAGGAGATAGCAGACTTTCCAATTTCAAACTATATTATAAAGCTATATTAATCAAAACAGTATGGTACTGGCATAAAAACAGATACATAGACCAAAGGAACAGAATAGACATCCCGGAAATAAACCCATGTATATACTGCCAACTAATATTTGATAAAGGAGCCTAGAATACTCATGGATAAAAGACAATCTCTTCAACAAATGGTGCTGGAAAAATTGGATATTCACATGTAAAAGTATGAAACTAGACCCTTATCTTACATCACTCACAAAAATTAACTTGAAGTGGATTCAAGACTTAGATGTAAGACTAGAAACCATAAAACTCCTAGAAGAAAACATAGGAAAAAAGCTCCTTGACATGGGTCTTGGCAATGAATTTTTGGATATGACACCTAAATCACAAGCAACGAAATAAAAAATAAACAAGTAGGACTACGTCAAACTGAAAAGCTTCTACACAGCAAAAGAAACAATCAATGAAATGAAAAGACAACCCACAGAAAGGGAAAAAATATTTGCAAAACACATACCTGATAATAGGTTAATATCCAAAACATATAAAGAACTCATACAACAAAATCAATAGCAAAAAAAAAAATAATCCCATTAAACAATGCGCAAAGGACCCAAATAGACATTTTTCCAAAGAAGATAAATGAATAGCCAACAGGTACATGAAAAGGGGCTCACCATCACTCATCATCAGGGAGTTGCAAATCAAAACCACAATGAGGTATCACCTCACACCTGTTAGAATGGCTATTATCAAAAACACAGGAAATAACAAATGATGGCGAGGATGTAGAGAAAAGGAACACTTGTGCACTGTCGGTGGGAATGTGAATTAGTGCAGCCACTGTGGAAAACAGTATGAAGGTTCCTCAAAAAATTAAAAATAGAACTACTATATGATCCAGCAATTCCACTCCTGGGTATACATCTGAAGGAAACTTAAACACTATGTCAAAAAGATATCTGCACTCCATGTTCATAGCAGCATCATTTACAATAGCCAAGACATGGAAACAACCTAAGTGTCCATCTATGGATGAACACATAAATAAATATATATATAATGGAATATTATTCAGCCATATAAAAGAAGGAAATTCTGCCATTTGTGATAACACAGATGGACCCTGAGGGCATAATGCTAAGTGAAATAAGTCAGACAGAGATAGATAAATACAGTATGATCTCACTTACATGTAGAATCTAAAAAAACAAACTCACTCATAGAAAAAGTGACCATATTTGGGCCTACCAGAAAGATGAGGTGAGGAGTGGGTGAATTTGATGAAGGTGGTCAAAATGTACAAACTTCCAGTTATAAGATAAATAAGTACTAAGGACGTAATGGCCAACATGATGACTATAGTTAACATTGCTGTACGGTATATTTGAAAGTTGCTAAGAGGGTAGACCCTAACAGTTCTCATCACAAGGAAAAAAAGTTTTTTTCTTTTCTTTATCTATATGAGATGATGGATGTTAACTAAAATTATTGTGGTAGTCATTTCACAATATAAGTCAAGACAATATGCCGTATACCTTAAACTTATACAGTGTTGCATGTCAATTATATCTCAATAAAACTGGGAAAAAATGTCTAATATGAAGCCCAGAGTCAAGGTAGAGAGGAAAAATATGCCAAATGACTCCATAAATATAAAAGAGAGGCCCAAGATATGGAGAGCTCAGTGCCAAAAAAAATGAGGGATACTCTGCGCCTTAATATTAAGGTACCAAGGACTAAAGTCCAGTAAAATCAATGACTCCAGTGCTTACTAATTAATTCATCGTATGTAATATCCAGACTTTTTTCCAAAAAAATTTTGAACTAGAATAAGTATGTATGTTATATTTTGCCTATCTTACCAACATAACCAAAGATATTTATGAATGAAATATCTACTTCCTTGCTCACAGATTACAGCATTTGCCATATCATGTATTAGCTGATGTCATAAGCCATCAGGAGTAAAGAAAGAAACACTAACTACTGAAACAATTCCTAAAAACCACACAATCAGGAAATTTATTCGAGAAATTCTAGAACCTATTATTACCACTTAATTCTTGTGAGTGTAAGTGTCCTTGAGGCACTTCATCATATAAAGTCTCGTAGAGGTTAGAAAGCATTTCCTTTTCCCTGTCAAAGAAACAGCCACATTAGAAAGCAGCAAAAAAATACACAAAATGATGCCATTTTGCCACCAAAATATTAGCAAACCTATCAATAGCCTGAGATTCTTCAGCCTCTTACTCCATACGAACCTTTCTGAAAGAACTGTCCAAGTGATAGTGAATTACATATTCTTCACCCCAGAATTCCTACCTTGTTTCTTTTAGATATTTCTCTATGGAGCAGAATTTACCCTCATCAGGAAGTACTGCCCATGACACACTATCCTTTGGCTGTGGTCCAATTTTTCCTACTCTTAATTCAAGTCACAGCAAATTTTATAGAAAGTTATTATAATAAAGCAAACAATATCTTTAAACAGCCAAAGAATCCCGGATCCCATAACCTGTTAAAAACATCTTGAAAAGATGATTCATCTAATCTCATCACACGTAAATAACTGAAATCACAGAATGTTAATGTTAGAAGAAATCTTCCAACTAGAGTCCATCTAGTACAAGATTTTTATACAGATGTGGAAACTGAGGCCCATAAATATAAACTGAATTGTACAAGAGCCTAAGCTAGCATGTGAGGTCAATCAGGAGTCAATTCTAAGTCTTTCAATTCAACTCTTAGCGGTACACCACCCTTACTAAGAACGTAGTTTCTTCTATGCACAAACTATTTGGCATACTTTATGTGGAAGGGATAGATGATTCTGGAAAGAAAAACCTCAAATCTGAATACAACATTAAGGGATAGAATAGAATGATTTAAATACCGAATAATTGAGGAAGATGTACAAAGAGGCAATAAAGTCTTGTGAATGCGGTACTGATTCGGCAACTTGCATAAAGAGTTTTCTTTCCTAGTCATCTTCTCCTTTGACAGTTTCACAGAGGAAGAGGCAATCTAGAGCCAAATGCAAGAAAATTGGTTCCTGAGATCACACTGGTAAACCAGCATTCTTGGACAATAAACCTCTTAAAAGATAATTAATTATACCTAGGCTCCTCACTTAGCTATGCTTCTGATGTAAAATTGCTTTTTGTAATTAAATTACAGTTTATCTGTAATTTTATCTGTATCTGTAATATAGTTTATCTGTATTAACTAATCATCTCCTAATTAATATTGTGTCAATTTATAGTAATGGATTTTACAAAGCAGGGCAAATCTATGGTATAGTGAAAACAAAACCACCAGACTCTAGGCTACATATACAGGCTTTGACCATATGAGCAAAATAATGTGGAGAACGAACACAGTTATTCAAATAATACAGGTAATTTTGCTTTAAATTATCCTTATAATTGAGAAAATTATCATAAGCATTGACAAAAAATTAACATTGCATGTACAAACATGATTTAAAAGTAGCAAGCAGCCAGGTAGATAGAAAAGCATCACTTAAGAAAATGACTAATTATAGGTGTCTTAAATTTTACATGGAACCCAGAGCCTTGAGTTTTAAAGATAACACAGGATATGGAGAGAAGACTCTCAAGCCATACAAGATTGACAAGAATTGGTACTGAGATCCCACACAGAGCCAAAATCTTCAAAAGGCAATGTTCTCAGCAACGGTGGACTAGAAAAAAACTTATCCCTCAACAGAAGGAGTATGCAGAGTAAAATCTGTCTTTGTCTCAGCTCCAGATTGGAACAAAAAAAGGAGAGAGAGAAAAGAAAGAGTATTCCTCTTGATTAGCTATAGCCATAGCTCTACCCACACATGAGTTTAAAATCAGAGGCAAATTCAAATTCTCTTGGAGAAGGACACTCTAAATCCAGACTTATCACGAGACTCCTACAGATTTAGATCAACTATATAGGAAAGAATGAACAATAAGTATAAGTACCCAAGGACATAAGTTAATATGAGTGAGAATCAGACAAAACAACAAACAGAGATTTAGATCCCCCAGAAACTTTATATATTAGATTTATCAGATATCAATCTTAAAACAACCATGGAACATGAGCAAAGAACAAGACATAAGGCAAATTTTAAGAAGAAACTTAAAATAAAACTTCTAGAGGTAAAAAATATAAGCACTGAAATTAAAATCTCAGTGGACAGGTTAAACTGCAGATTAGATTCAGCTGGAGAAAGAAAAAGTAAACTAGAAAGTAGATGGAAGAAATTATCCAGAACAAAATAGAGAGAAATAGATGCAAAATATGAAGCAAGGTTAAAGATCAGAAAGAACAGAATAAGGTCTAATATACATCAAACAGAAGATCCAAAAAGACAGAATAAGGAGATTGAGAGAGAGGAAATATTCTAAAAGCTAATGGATTCGAATTTTCCAGAATTGAAGAAAGGCATGTATTCTCAGATTCAGGAAGCAAAACAAATATCAAGACAGAGAAATAAAAAGAAATATATAACTAAGTATATCTGTAGTGAATATAGTAGGTTGAATGGTGGCCCCACAAAAAGATATGTCCATATCCTAATCCCTCCAACCTGTGAATGTGACCTTATTTGGAGAAAAGGTCTTTGTATGTAATATATATATTATGGCTTTATGTATGACTTGAGAGTCTTCTCTCTTTGTATATTTGTATATGATAAACCAAGTTAAGGATCTCAAGATGAGATATACAATGATGCGCTTATAAGAGAAAAAGAAGAGGGAGACTTGAGATATAGACACAGGGGAGAAGGCCATATGAAGAGCAAGACAGAGGCCAAGATTGAAGTTATGCTGCCACAAGCCAAAGAATGCCTAGAATCATTGCTAAAACAGCTGCAATGTTAACAGAAAGCATTGTAATAAAAATACTGGTCTAATGGAGAAAGAAGGGGGAAAAATTCACATTCTTCTGAAAGGGTTCCTTGATCAATTTATTTGAATACTTTTTTTAATTTAAAAAAAGGAGAAGGAGGAAGAGGAGGAGAGAGAGGAGGAAGAGCAGGAGGAAGAGGAGGAAGAAGAAATATTTAAGATTGTGACATTTCAACACTTGGACTAAAATGTAATGGAATGTTTGAGGGCTAAGAATAACACTTGAAAGTAAAAGAAATATTTCTATATCTTTATTTACCTCAGTCCTTTTAGTATGCAATTGTGCTTGTAAACTTTTCTTTCTCTTGACTTGTTTTTCTCCTGAAAACTCAGAGGATTTTTCTTCTCCATATAGGAATACTGATGTTTCATACCTAAATTGCACAGAAAATTAGAATAATTCCTGAATTGTTCTTTTTCTTGCTCTTCTTTTCATCTTTTATTTACAGAAATTTTCAAACATATGCAAAAGTAGACAGAATAATGTGATGATCTCCCCATGTACCCATCACCCAGCATCAATAATGGACAATCCTATTTTGTCTATATCCCTATCCTTGCTCCCATCCCTTACTATTTTGAAGCAAATTCCAGTATCATATTATTTCATGTTAAAGATATTAATATACATTTCTACAAGTTGTTTTTTTCTTTTAAAAAAACATATTTAAAACACCATTATGACACCTAAAAAATTAACAATAATTTCTTAATATCATCCAACATACAATCAGTGTTCAAATTTCCAATTGTCTCATAAATGTCAAAATTTTTTAACACTTTGCATCAGGATTCAATAATATCCCCATATTACACTTGGTTGGTATGTCTTTTAGATCTCTTTTCATCTCTAGGTTCTCCTTCCATATCTTTTATTATTATTATCATTATCATTATCACTATCATTATTGCCAGGTCATTTGTCCTACAGATTTTCTACAGTCTGGATTTTGCTAACTTTACCATGGTTGTAGGATTCTAAAGACTTGGTCAGATTAACATTCAAAAAAACTTTTTTTTTGACAAAACCAAGGTGGTGCTGTTTTCCCAGCAGGAGGCAAATAATGTCCAAGTGCCTCTCTATTTGTGATATCAGCAGCTACTTATACATAATAACTAGATCCAGCAAAGCATCAGGGACTGCAAAATGGTTATATTCTAAATCTATCATCCCTTTTTCACTCATTGGCTAGAATATTTCTATAAAGAGAAACTTTCTCTCATGTACTATTTGGTTACCCAGTAGTACAGTTCATATAGAAAGGCAAGATAATTGCTTTATTCTTTTCCTTTATCTATCACTTTTCATAACAATGACTTGGCTCGCTTGTAACCTTCAACAGTGACAAAATAGTTTTTATTCCATTTTGAACACATGGATTTAAATACATTAAATTCATTTTAATTCCCTGCAACTATCATTCTTATTGATGCTCTAATTTTCTCATGTGTGGTGGGAAGAGGTGTGAGTCTCTTCAAGTAGGCTCTTGAGTCGTTTCGGTACATCCCTGGTAGCAGTCTTGGTTTGTTTCCTTATTTCTGGAAGACAAGATGCTTCAGGCTCATCTGTACACTTCCTTTCCTAGACCTGCAATCAGCCATTTCTCCAAAGAAATGGTTCCTTTTAATAAGAAATGGTACTTCAAGACTAAAGTCGGCACTAGATGCTGAACTGCTTTTTAATAATTATCCTGATCTCTTATTACTTACTTTTCTCTTCTTTCTGTATCTTTTCCCTCTTCTATTGGACTGTCAAGAACTTTTGTAATACAAACATCCCATAAACAATACAACAATGAGATGAATACAATAAGCTTGAATTAAATTTGAAAGAGAAGATCTCTTGAAAATTGCATACTGTGCTTCAAGTAATCCAGGGTAAACCTAAATTTCAAGGACAACCCTAAAATTATTTTTGTGCTCCTGGGACTCTGTAGACTAGGAATGAAACTTGTCTGCACATTGGAATCACCTGGGAGCTTTGAAAAAATACTGAAAACTGTGTCCCATCCCCCCAAATTGTGATTTAATTATTTTAGGGAGTGGACTGATATTTAGAATTTTTCAAACATACCCAGGTGATTTTAACATGAAGACAAATTCTAGAATCACTATGGCAAACCCCCATAGGCTTGTTTCTACCCAGAACTCACATCACCTGGGCTGTAACTCAATATTTTAGAAGTAATACCTTATTTTTCCTTGTAGGCAAACTAAGAGCTCTTTAGCAGAAACGGTTCCTTCCTTTTAGAGTAACCTGCTATGTAAGGGCTGCTTAGGTGATACACAGGACAATGACTAGATTGAATCTATAACAGCTTTAGACAAATTTAGCCCTAAGCAAAATTGTGAAATAATGGAAATTTTTATTATGCACCCCACTCTCCTTCCTTAGCAGGTACCTTGCACTTTTGACATTCTATCCCTTTAAATCCAATCCCTGAAATTCCTAACCTGAAAGCCTCATTACCTTGCTCTTAGCCCCTTGAAGCTGTCCTATGATTAGTCCTCTCTGCAGTCCTCCACTTGTAAAGACAATGACTTGAACTATTTTGATTATGAACCAGGGTATAAATTATATTTTCTATTGAGACATAGTACACATATACAGAGAGAGAGACCTGAAACAATTTCACAAAACAATACTTATCCTTATTAAGTGAAAAGCACTCTAATGTTTTCAATTCTATTCTCATTTCTTTTTTTAAAAAAATACTAGTAGCGACCTCCTAAGTTGATTTCACGACACACAAATGAGTCACAACCTAGAGTCCACTGCTACTTTATATCCTCCATCCTCTCCCCATATATCCTCACTGACACTGATCTTTATATTTCTGCAATAATTGTGATTTTTTTTATCTTCTATCATTTTTTACGTATAAGTATGTTTTTTAATTATGGGATGCTTCAAATATTTTATGAAATAGGAATGATTTGGTATGAATAATGAATAGCTAAAAACATTTGTTCTATATTCTCACTTTGGGGCATTGTATCTCCCCAGGTGTTAACCTATTTTAAACAATGCTAATTAAATAAAGTAAAGGAACACTCCTACCACCTCCTATTCCTTCCTAAGTAACAAGTTTTATTGTAGCGTTCTAGAAATAATTGTCTTGCCTTTTGTCATCTAACACAGAGGAATAGTGGGAACCCCTATAAGACTATCAGCAGATCTGTCAGCAGAAACCTTGCAGGCCAGAAGGGATTGAAAGACATATTCAAAGTGCTGAAAGAAAAAAAACTGCCAACCAAGAATACTCTATCCCACAAAGTTGTCCTTCAGAATTGAAGGAGAGATAAAGAGTTTTCTGGACAAACAAAAACTGAAGGAGATCATCATCACTATACCGACCTTATAAGAAACGTTAAAGGGAGTTCTTCAAGCTAAAATGAAAGGATGCTAATTAGTAACACAAAAACATATTAAAGTGTAAATCTCACTGGTCAAGGTAAATATATAGTTAAATTCAGAATACTGTAATATTGTAGTGGTGGTAGAGAAATCAGATATAACTCTAATATAAATGTTAAAAGACAAAAGTATTAAAAATAACTATAACCACAATAATTTGTTGATGGATACACAATATAAAAAGATGTGAACTATGATATCAAAAACAAAATGGGGGGAGAAGTGTAAAAACGTAGAGCTTTTGTATACATTTGAAGTTATCAGCCTAAAATAGACTGTTATAACTATAAGATGTTTTATAAAAGCCTCATGGTAACCACAAAACAAAAATCTATAGTAAATACACAAAAGAGAAAGAGAAAGAAATCAAAGTAGAGTCATGCATTGCTTAACAGCAGAGATATATTCTGAGAAATGCATCATCAGGCGATTTCATCATTGTACAAACACCATAGAGTGTACTTACACAAACCTAGATGGTATAGCCTACTACATATGTAAGCTATATAGTACTCATCTTATGGGACCACTGTCATATATGCAGTCCATCATTAACCGAAACATCGTTATGTGGCACACGACTATATATCACTAGAGAAAATTATCAAATCACAAAGGAAGAGAGCAAGAAAGGAACAAAGAAACTACAAAACAGCCAAAAAACAATTAACAAAATGGCAATAGTAAGTCATTATCTATCAATAATTACTTTAAATGTAAATGGACTAAACTCTACTATCAAAAGACATACAGTGGCTGAATGGATAAAAAAACAAGACCCAAGTATATGCTGCCTCCAAGAGGCTCACTTCAGCTTTAAGGACACACACAGACTGAAAGTGGAGGGATGGAAAAAGATATCCTACACAAAAGAAAACCAAAAGAGGGCAGGGGTAGCTACAATTATACAGCCATACCTTGTTTTATTGCACTTCACTTTATTGTGCTTCACAGATACTGCATTTTTTTACAAGACCCTCCACCATCAAAAAAGATTATGACTCACTAAAAGCTCAGATGATGTTTAGTGTTTTTTAATTAAGGTATGTATATTGTCTTTTTAGACATAATGCTATTGCACATTTAATAGACTAACGTATAATTAAACATAACTTTTACATGCAATGGGAAACCAAAAAATTCGTGTGACTTGCTTTATTGCGATATCTGCTTTATTGCGATATCTGCTTTATTGCAGTGGTCTGGAACTGAATCCACAATATCTCTGAGGTATGCCTATACTAGACAAAATAAATTTTTTTTTTAATTTTTTTTAATTTATTTATTTTTCCCCTAAAGCCCCAAGCGATAGTTGTAAGTCATAGTTGCACATTCTTCTAGTTGCTGTATGTGGGACGCGGCCTCAGCATGGCCGGAGAAGCAGTGCGTCTGTGCGCGCCCGGGATCCGAACCCGGGCAGCCTGCATCGGAGCGCACGCACTTAACCGCTAAGCCACGGGGCCAGCCCAGGACAAAATAAATTTTAATGCATGTTTTCTAAGCCCAAAACTGAAACAAGAGACAAAGAAGGTCATTATATAATGATAAGAGGGTGAATTAATCAAGAGGATATAGCAATTGTAAATATTTATACACCCAACATAGGAGCACCTAAACATATAAAGCAAATATTAACCGATCGGAAGGGAGAAAGAGACAGTAATACAATAATAATAGGGAACATTTCAATATGCCACTTTCAACAATAGATACATCATCCAGACAGAATATCAAAAGGAAGCATTGGACTTAAACTACATGTTAGAACAGATGGATCTGACAGACATATACAGAACATTCTATCCAACAGTAGCAGAATACACATTCTGCTCAAGCACACATGCAACATTCTCCAGGATAGATCATTTCTCAGGCCACAAAACAAGTCTAAAGACTTAAGAAGACTGAAATGATACCAAGCATCTTTTTTGACCACAATGATATAAAACTAGAAATCAATTACAAGAAGAAAACTGGAAAAATCAGAATAATGTGGAAATTAAACAACATGCGCCTGAACAACCAATGCGTCAAAGAGGAAATCAAAGGGGAACTTAAAAAAATATCTTGAAACAAATGAAAATGAAAACATAACATATGAAAACTTACTGGATGCAGCAAAAGCAGTTCTAAGAGGGAAGTTTATAGTGACAAATGCCTACATAAGGAAAAAAGAAAGATCTTGAATAAACAACCTAAATTTACACCTCAAGGAACTAGAAAAGAAAAACTAAGCCCAAAGTTAGTAGAAGGAAGGAAATAACAAAGATCAGAGAAGAAATAAATGAAACAGAGACTAAAAAGACAATAGAAAAGATCAATGAAACTAAGAGCTCGTTTTATGAAAAGATAAACAAAACTGACAAATGTTTAGCTAGACGGAGAAAAAGAGAGAGAAGACTCAGATTAATAAAATCAGAAATGAAAGAGGAGATATTACAACTGATAACACAGAAATAGTAAAGATCATAAGAAACTTCTATGAACAATTATACACCAACAAATTAGATAACCTAGAAGAAATGAATAAATTCCTAGAAACATATGACCTACAAAGACTGAATCATGAAGAAACAGAAAACCAGAACAGACCAATTATTAGTAAAGAGATTGAATCAGTAATCAAAAACCTTTCAACAAAGAAAAGTCCAAGACCAGATAGCTTCCCTGGTGAATTCCACTCAAGATTTAAAGAATTAATACCAATCCTTCCCAAACTCTCCCCAAAAATTGAAGAGAAGGGAACACTTTCAAACTTGTTTTATGAGGTCAACATTACTGATACCAAAGCCAGACGAGGACACTACAAGAAAAGAAAATTACAGGCCAATACCTCTGGTGAACATAGATGTAAAAATTCTCAACAAAATATAAGCAAACCACATTCAACTGTACATTAAAAGGATCATAAACCATGATCAAGTGGGATTTATTTCTGGGATACAAGGATGGTTCAACATAAGCAAATCAACAAATGTGATACACCACTGTGGAGGAAAAAGTCCAGTCCTCTTCCTGTGTTTCTCCTTTACTCTCACACTACTACCACCCTCAAAACACTTCTGACACCAGACATGTGGGGGTTTTTCTCCCACCAAGCAGTTCTCTGCAACACCAGTGGGGTGTCCTACAATTTAACTCAACTCCGACCCCATCTACCTGGAGATACCATCAAATCCCACAGGATAAGTGTTCAAAATTGCCCCCACTCCACTTCAGATGCCAATAACAAGTTGTCATCTGTGCTTCTGATTGAAGCACAATCAAAGTTTGAAGTTAGAGTGCATTACCCTCTTGGAATGTGGATGTATTCACCAAACTGGAAGATATCCAAACCCCATATTATTGGGATTTTTATTGATGCTTCCTCATTGTAAGCATTATCAATTATTAACTCCATTTCCAGCCCCTCTCCTCTCTCTGGAGAGCTTCTAGGTTGGTGAACACATCCACATACTGGGAGGGTGACACATCCCAACTCCACGGAGACAGAAGCTCCTGTGCTCGGGACCCTCCCTATGTATCTCTCCCTATGTATCTCTTCATCTGGCTGTTCACCTATGTCCTCCATCATGTCTTTTAATAAATTGGTAAATGTTAAGTAACTGTTTCCTTGAATTCTGTGTGTCACTCTAGCAATTAATCAAATTCAAGGGGGGGGTCATGGGAACCTCTGATTTGTAGCCAAGTCAGACAGAAGTTGTGGGTAACCTGGGGACCTACTACTTATGATTGGCATATGAAGTGGGGGCAGTCTTGTGGATCTGAGCCCTTAACCCATGGGATCTGATGCTGTCTCCAGGTAGACAATGTCAGAATTGAGTTAAATTGTAGGACACCCAACTGGTGTCACAGAATTGCTTGGTGTGGGGAAAACCCACATATCTGGTGTCAGAAGTGTTGTGAGTGTGGTAGTAGTGTGAGAGTAAAGGAGAAACACAGGAGAAGAACTGAGGTTTTTCCTAATATAACCACATTAACAAAATGAAGGATAAAAATCATACGATCATCTCAATAGATGCCAAAAAAGCATTTGACAAAATTCAACATCCTTTCATGATAAGAACTCTCAACAAAGTGGGTATAGAAGGAATATATCTCAACATAATAAAGGCCATACATGACAAGCACAGAGCTAACATCATACTAAATGGTAAAAATCTGAAAGCTTTTCCTCTAAGATCAGGAACAAGACAAGGGTGCCCACTCTCCCCACTTTTATTCAATATAGTACTGGAAGTCCTAGCCAGGGCAACTAGACAAGAAAAAGAAATAAAAGGCATCTAAATGAAAAAGGAAGAAATTAAATTGTCTGTTTCCAGATGGCAAGATCTTATATACAGAAAACCCTCAAGAGTCCACCAAAAAAACTGTTAGAACTAATAAACCTAATTCAATAAATTTGCAGGATAAAAAAATCAATATACAAAAATCAGTTGCATTTCTATACACTAACAATGAACTATCAGAGAGAGAAATTAAGAAAACAATCCCATTTAAAATAGCACCAAAAGGAATAAAATACTTGGGAATAAATTTAACCAAGGAAGTGAAAGTTCTGTATGCTTAAAACTATAAAATATCAATGAAAGAAATTGAAGAAAACACAAATAAATGTCAAGATATTCTATGTTCATGGATTGAAAGGATTAATATTGTTAAAATGTCCATACTGACCAAGTGATCTACAGATTTGATGCAATCCTTATCCAAATTCCAAGGCCATTTTTCACAGAAATAGAAAAATCAATCCTAAAATTTGTATGGAACCACAAGAGCCAAAGCAATCTTGAGAAAGAAACAATAAAACTCCTAGAAGAAAACATACGCAGTAAACTCTTTGACACCAGTCTTGGCAAAGATTTTTTTGGATTTGACACCAAAAGCAAAGGAAACAAAAGCAAAAATAAACAAGTGGGACTACATCAAACTGAAAAGGTTCTGCACAGCAAAGGAAACCATCAGCAAAATGAAAAGACAATGTACAGAATGGAAGAAAATATTTGCAAACCATATGTCTGATGAGTTATATTCAAAATATACAAGGAATTCATACAACTCAATAGCAAATGAATAAATAACCCAATTAAAAAATGGGCAAAGGCAAGACACAAAACAACAAATGTTGGAGAGGATGTGGAGAAACAGGAACCCTCATACACCGCTGGTGGGAATGCAAATTGGTGCAGCCTCTATGGAAAACGGTATGGAGATTCCTCAAAGAATTAAAAATAGAGACGCCCTATGATCCAGCCATCCCACTACTGAGAATCTATCCAACGAACCTGAAATCAACAATCCAAAGAGACTTATGCACCCCTATGTTCAGTGCAGCATTATTCACCATAGCCAAGAAGTGGAAGCAACCTAAGTGTCCCTCGACTGACGATTGGATTAAGAAAATGTGGTATATATATACAATGGAATACTACTCAGTCATAAAAAAGACAAATTCGTTCCATTTGCAACAACATGGATGGGCCTGGAGCGTATTATGTTAAGTGAAATAAACCAGAAAGAGAAAGACAAACACTGTATGATCTCACTCATATGTGGAATATAAACCAACACATGGACAGAGAAAACTGGACTGTGGTTACCAGGGGCAGTGGGGGTGGGGGGTGGGCATAAGGGGTGAAGGGAGTCATATATATGGTGATGGACAGACAAAAATGTAAAACCCAAAATTTCACAATGTTAGAAACCATTAAAACATCAATAAAAAAAAAAATGGGTAAAGGGCCTGAATAGGCATTTTTCCAAAGAAGACATACAGATGGCCAACAGGTACATGAAAAGGTGTTCAACATCACTCGTCTAAGGAAATTCTAATCAAAACAACAATGAGATATCACCTCACACCTGTTAGAATACCTATTATCAAGAAAACAAGATATAACAAGTGTTGGCAAGAATGTGAAGAAAAGGGAACACTTGTGTGCTGCTGGTGGGAATGTAAATTAGTGCAGCTACCATGGAAAACAGTATGGAGGTTCCTCAAAAAATTAAAAATAGAACCACTATATGATCCCACAATCCCACTTCTGGGTATATATGCAAAGGAAATGAAAACAGAATCTTGAAGACATATCTGCACTCTCAGGTTCATTGCAGCATTATTCACAATAGCCAACATATGGAAACAATCTAAGTGTCTGTCAACAGATAAAGGGTTAAAGAAGATGTGGTATATATATACAATGAAATACTATCCAGCCACGAGAAAGAAGGAAATCCTGCCATTTGCAACAATATGGGTGGATCTTGAGGGCATTACATGAAGTGAAATAACACAAAAAAAGACAAATACTGTAGAATACCACTTATATGTGAATTCTAAAAAAGCCAAACTCATAGAAACAGGGAATAGAATGACGGTTGCAAGAGAATGGAGGGTGGGAGAAATAGGTATAGGGAGAGGCTGGTAAAAGGGTATAAATTTTCAGTTAGAGATGAATAAGGTCTGAGGATATAACGTATAATATGGTGACTATAGTTGATAATATTGTATAATATAATTGAAATTTGCTAAGAGAGTCAAACTTCAGTGTTCTCACCAAGAAAATAAATAAATAAATAAAATAAGGTAAATATGTGAGGTGATGCATGTGTTAATTAACACAAAGGTAGAAATAATTTCACAGTGGATATATAAATCATCACGTTATACACTTAAATATATTACAATTTTATTTGTCAAAAAAAAAGGACAAACACAGACATATGGATAATTGCTCTCCTCTAACTGGAAGCCTATGATAACTTATAGGCTTCCACATGGCTGTAAGAGAAGTGAGAAAAAGTGTAAGAATGGCTATCTAGGAATTAAAACTAAGCTCTAGAAAGAATGGCCACAAATATGCATGATCCTCTATATTTAGTACATTACGAGAACACATGAGCTACATTTTGGGTTCTCTTAAACTTGCAAAAGAATAATTCAATTAAGTATGTTCAGAATTTAACTTACGTTTGTTTGTGTTCTGGGCTCAAAACCCTAATTTCAGGTGAAATTCTTTTCTCTGTCATTTTAGAAAACTTGATGTATTTCTTGCTGTCAATACGTCTTGATGGCAAGTAGGTCGCAAAAGAATTACAGCCATGTTCTGATAAATCAATATTTTCTTCTGCCTGGGGAGCAATCAAGAGCCACAGTCAGCCATGTTCTCTTTGCATATATAAATTAAATACGCCATTTTGGGTCAAATCATTCATTTTAGATCAATATTCTCTCTAAAAGCCAGCGCTAGTGGTCTAGTGGTTAAGACCTGGCACGCTCACCCCCACGGCCTGGGTTCATTTCCTGGCCAAGGAACCACATTACCCATCTGTTGGTTGTTACACTGTGGCAGCTGCCTGTTGCTGTGATGCTGAAAGCTATGCCACGGGTATTTCAAATACCAGCAGGGTCACCCATGGTGGACACATTTCAGTGGAACTTCCAGACTAAGACACTAGGAGGAAGGACCTGGCCACACACTTCCAAAAAAATTGGCTATGAAAACCCTATGAATAGCAGCAAGCACTGTCTGATATAGCACTGGAAAATGAGAGGATGACACAAAAAGGACCAGGCAGGGTTCCACTCTGCTGTACATGGGGTCGCCAGGAGTCGGAATCAACTCAACGGCACTAACAACAAAAATTCTTCCTAAAATGGTGCTTTGCTGTTTGTGCCATGGTGCCACCAAAGGGAATTTTGTTGAAAAGTGTTCATTCATTAGTGCATTAGTCCAGATTAGGTATGTATTCCAAATGCCTCCAACTTTCCTTACTGCATTATGCAATTATAAAATGCACAGCACTCATGAATGTATCTAACAGTTATTGAACCTAATTAAGGCATCATTAAAGTTAACTTCATTAAAATTAAAATTTTCTGCTCTGCAAAAGACACAGTCAAGAGGATGAGAGGACAAGCCACAGGCTGAGAGAAAATATTTGCAACAAATATATCTGATAAAGGACTATATTCAAAGAATTTTTATTTTGTATATTCAAAAAATATACAAAAAACTCTTAAAACTCAGCAATAAGAAAAAGAACAACCCAATTAAAACCCATTAAAAAATCTTAACAGACACCTTATCAAAGAAGATGTACAGATGGCAAACAAGCACCTGAAAAGATGCTCAACATCATGTCATTAGGGAATTGTAAATTAAAACAACATCAAGATACCACTACACATTTATTAGAATGGCCAAAATACAAAACACTGACAACACCAAATCCTGGCAAGGATGTGGAGCAAGAGGAACTCTCAATCATTGCTGGTGGGAATGCAAAATGGTACAGCCACCTTGGAAAACAGTTTGGCAGTCTCTTACAGAACTAAACATACTCTAACATACAATCCAGCAATTGCACTTCTTGGTATTTACCCAACGGAATTGAAAATGTATGTCTACACAAAAACCCTCACACGGATGTTTATAGAAACTTTATTTATAATTGACAAAACTTGGAAAAAACTATCAGTAGATGAATAGATAAATAAATAGTGGTACATCCAGACAATGGAATACTATTCAGTGTTAAAAAGAAATGAACTAACAAGCCATGAAAAGACACGGAGGAAACTTAAATGTATATTACTAAGTGAAAGAAGCCAATCTATAAAGGCTACATACTGTATGATTGCAACTATATGACAATCTGGAAAAGGCAAAACTATGGAGACAATAAAAAGATCAGTGGTTTCCAGTGCTGGGGGGCGGAAGCAGATGAATAGGCAGAGCACAGAGGATTTTTAGGGCAGTGTAACTTTTCTATATGATATTATAATAGTGACTACATGTCATTACACATTTGTCCCAACCCATAGAATGTACAACACCAAAAGTCAATCCTAACATAAACTACTGACTTTGGGTGATAATCAGGCGCCCATGTAGGTTCATCAATTGTAACATCAAACGTACCACTGTGGTGCAGGATGTTGATAGTGGAGAACGCTGTGCATATATAGAGGCACGGGTTATATGGGTACTCTCTGTACTTTCCACTCAATTTTGCTGTGAATATACAACTGCTCTAAAAAATAAAGACTACTAAGAAAAAAGAAAAAGAAAAAGCTATATTGCTTCTAAATAGACCTCCTCTCCTAAAAAAAGGAACCAGAGCCTAGGAGCAAAGAACATGTTTAGAAAAAGAGGAACGAAGTTGGAAATATTCTCTCTTAAAACGTGGCTGTTTGCTTAAAACAACTGGACTGCTTCTAGTTGATCAAAGGTGCATTAGTTTATAACCCCTGAACAGAATACACAGGCAATTCATAAAGCAGATTACCAAGGGAGCTTAGAAAGAACCTCTATTTCCATATGCGATGGAAATTAAGGGAACTACTTCAGTGACTTTTTTTTATTTGAACTTTTTTTATTGATGTCATAATAGTTTATAACATTGTGTAATTACAGTTGTACATTATTATTTGTCAGTCACCATATAAATGCGCCCCTTCACCCTTTGTGCGCACCCCCTTCCCCCTGCTAACTACCAAACTGTTCTCTCTGTCTGTGTGTCAGTTTATCTTCTACATATGAGTGAAATCATATGGTGTTTGTCTTTCTTTGTCTGGCTTATTTTGCTTAACATAATACCCTCCAGATCCATCCATGTTGTTGCAAATGGGACGATTTTGTCTTTTTTTTTTCATTGATGTTTTAATAGTGTATAACATTGTGAAATTTTCGGTTGTACATTTTTTTTTGTCCAATTTTGCCTTTTTTTTAATGACTGAGTAGTATTTCATTGTATATATATATACCACATCTTCTTTATCGAATCATCAGTCCAGGGACACTTGGGTTGCTTCCACTTCTTGGCTGTAATGAATAATGCTGCAACGAACATAGGGGTGCATAAGCCTCTTTAGATTGTTGATTTCAAGTTCTTTGGATAGATACCTGGTAGTGGGATAGCTGGATCATAAGGTATTTCTATTTTTAATTTTTTGAGGAATCTCCATACTGTTTTCCATACAGGCTGCACCAATTTGCATTCCCACCAGCAGTGAATGAGGGTTCTCCTTTCTCCACAACCTCTCCAACATTTGTTGTTTTTTGTCTTGGTGATTATAGCCATTCTAACAGGTATAAGGTGATATCTTCTTGTAGTTTTGATTTGCATTTCCCTGATGATTAGTGATGGTGAACATCTTTTCATGTGCCTATTGGCCACCTGTATATCTTCCTTGGAAAAATGTCTGTTCATATCCTCTGCCCATTTTTTGATTGGGTTGTTTTTTTTGTTGTTCGTTGCATGAGTTCTTTTACATATTATGGAGATTAACCCCTTGTCGGATATATGATTTGCAAATATTTTCTCCCACCTAATGGGTTATCATTTCATTTTGATCCTGGTTTCCTTTGCCTTACAGAAGCTCTTTAGTCTGATGAAGTCCCACCTGTTTATTTTTTCCTTTGTTTCCCTTGTCTGAGTAGACATGGAATTCGAAAAGATCCCTCTAAGACCAATGTCAAAAAGTGTACTGCCTATATTTTCTTCTATAGTTTTATAGTTTCAGGTCTTACCTTCAAGTCTTTGATCCATTTTGAGTTAATTTTTGTGTATGGCAAAAGAAGATGGTCTACTTTCATTTTTTTGCATGTGGCTGTCCCGTTTTCCCAGCACCATTTATTGAAGAGACTTTCCTTTCTCCATTGTATGTTCTTAGCTCCTTTGTCAAAGATTAGCTGTCTGCTTTCAATTCTGTTCCATTGATCTGTGTGTCTGTTTTTGTACCAGTACCATGCTGTTTTGATTATTATAGCTGGGTAGTATATTTTGAAGTCAGGGATTGTGATGCCTCCAGCTTTTATCTTTCTTCTCAGGGTTGCTTTAGCTATTCAGGGTCTTTTGTTGCCCTATATGAATTTTAGGAGTCTTTGTTCTATTTTGGTGAAGAATGTCATTGGGATTCTGATTGGGGTTGCACTGAATCTGTAGATTGCTTTAGGTAGTATGGACATTTTAACTATGTTTATTCTTCCAATCCATGTGCATGCGATATCTTTCAATTTCTTTACGTCATCATTGATTTCTTTGTATAGGTTCTTTGTATAGTTTTCTTTGTATAGATTTTTGTATAGTTTTCATTGTATAGGTCTTTCATCTCCTTGGTTAAATTTATTCCTAGATATAGTTCTTTGTATAGATTTCTTTGTATAGTTTTCATTGTATAGGTCTTTCATCTCCTTGGTTAAATTTATTCCTAGATATTTCATTTTTTGTTGCAATTGCAAATGGGATTGTATTCTTGAGTTCTCTTTCTGTTAGTTCGTTATTAGAGTATAGAAATGCAACTGATTTTTGTAAGTCGATTTTGTAACCTGCAACTTTGCTGTAGTTGTTGAGTATTTCTAACAGTTTTCCAATGGATTCTTTAGGGTTTTTTATATATAAGATCACGTCGTCTGCAAACAGTGACAGTTTCACTTCTTCATTGCCTATTTGGATTCCTTTTATTACTTTTTCTTGCCTAATTGCTCTGGCCAAAACCTCCAGTACTGTGTTGAATAAGAGTGGCAAGAGTAGGCACCCTTCTCTTGTTCTTGTTCTCAGAGGGGTGGCTTTCAGTTTTCCCCACTGAGTATGATGTTGTCAGCGACTTTTAGAATCTGCATACATTTGTCTTACAACAGAGGCACACCTTTAACAACTTGTTTCAAAAAGGCAATCTGATTTGCTGCCTTGATGAGATGTTTATTACAAATGATGAAGGGATTCCTAGAGAGGTTAAGAGTAATGAACCAAAATAGAAACCAGGAAAAAAAACGGGGGTGGGCGGGGGCAGAGCCAGCCCAGTGGCATCGCGATTAGGTGCACGTGCTCCACTTCGGCAGCCTGTGGTTCGCAGGTTCAGATCCCAGGCATGCACTGACGCACCACGTGTCAAGCCATGCTGTGGGGGCGTCCCATATAAAGTAGACAAAGATAGGCATGGATGTTAGCCCAGGGCCAATCTTCCTCAGCAAAAAGAGGAGGATTGGCATCAGATGTTAGCTCAGGGCTAATCTTCCTCACAAAGAAAAAAAAAATGGAAAGGGATCTAAAAAGACAGAGGAGCACAAAAACCTGTTATCAAAGGCCAGATGAATGGAAACAGTCAAACAGTAAGTAGAAACTTTGATGACACAGAAGAGAAAAGCAAGAAAAGCATCCCTGAAACTCTAGTTAAAGGTGAACCATCTGTGAAGTACAAACTATATAGCCCAAGGAAAATAAACTGCTATGATATTTTAATATTGTTAATTTTTTTAATTTTTAAGAATTCTTCTTCAAAATCAGTTCATAAGGGCACAATTAACAAAGTATTAGGTATAAAAAGATGGAACACATTTAAAAATATACATAAACTACATATCTCAGTACTTAGCAAGAAGCCTGAAATTGTTTTTTGGATTTATAGTATAGATATATGTTTTACCTGGTGGCACCAAATCCATTAAAAGAATAACTTTAAAAGATTAAGACTCTCAGTTGACAATGTTGAATTTTACCTGAGCCCTGTGCTCCTGGAAAACAGTGAAGATTAAAGGAATCCCCTCACCCTTTTGTGTTCTGGAAAATAGCTTACTGCAAAGATTCGCCCTTCCCCATACGATTTAGGTAAGATTCATGGATGCCCCCCTTGTTTACCTATGACAAGACCAAACGTCTTCAAAATTCCCTTTCTTTGTCTCATAAATGATTAGCTGAACTGTTTTAGTCCCACTGATTAGTCAGAACAAAATGCTTATTTACTAAACTTTGGTTAAGCTTCTCTCCTTTCTCCAGGACTCTGAGCTTTAACCCACCCTCAGCCTGAGCCAGCATACAACCCCTCCAGAGAACAGGCTGGCCTCAAGGTAAAATTTTCTCTGATCTAGTTATCCGATCATGCCACTCTTTCATCCCACTTCTCCATATCCAGTTATTCCCAGCTTTGTTCACCCCTCTCTGTGAAAGAAAACGCCTTTTTGCCCAGCCCTTAAGATGCTTGCAGATCTTATGGTCGTAGCGCTCTCCCTGTTGCAATTGTCACCCCTCCTCCTATTTCAATCATCCCTTTCCTCCCTTGGAACAATCCTTTTGAATAAAGTCTCTCCTATTAAGTCCACACTTGTTTTTTATTTGACACAATACTGACCAATGGATAAGAACATCCCCTGAATCACAGATAAGAAAGCTAGAGAAACTTCATATCTTTTATATTACCTTTTGGTTAGACTCCCACATCATTAATTACATTATCTACAACCTCTCATGCAGGTTTAAATCCTCTGGTCTCCTAAAAAATTATCCTAGTCCCTACCTGCAAAAATACTCTTAGCGTACACCACAATACCCTTGATATTGCAGGGGTTGCTGGGATGAGAGTTGAATATATGTCCACCAAAGAGTTCAAAAATCATCTCAGTTGTTAAGCAAGATCCTATGACTGTATTACTCTATGAATCTGCTTACTGATTATGGATGTGAGGTAATGTAAACTAATTAAAAAATATAAAAGGAAAGAATCTTTAAAAACTGTCCAAAAAAAATACCTGGTATAATAAATGTACTTTAGTTTCCATCTTTCTGTTTAGAGGTAATGTCTGCCCGTGAGGACTTGATGAACAAGTGTGAATGAGCAATAGCACAAGAATTTCCTGCCAAAAAAAAGAAAAAGAAAAAAATCATATGCCTGTTTAGGAGACTTAAGTAACTATATTTACCTACCTGAAGTTATCCCTTCAATATAACACTCACTTACAGCATAATACCTAATAGATATTCCCCAACCCAGATATGTGTACAAAAAGCTAGAAAGAGCAGTTCATAAATCGTAAATCACAGGAGATCAGCTGTCCCTTAACTTTACCTTTTGTGGTATAAGGAGAAGTAGAGAAATCCAAATTCAAATGGCATAAAAAGCAGAAAAATCCAGTTATACATATTTATTCAAATAAACCCAGAGAAGCAGAACTACTAACATAGCAGTAATCGCTAATGTTATTAAATGCTTATTGTGTACTAGACATTATGATAAACACTTTGACGTGAATTATTTCATTTATTCCTCACAACTATACTTTAAGGAATTATTATCATCCCTATTTTACAGATGAGGAAAATAAAGACTTAGATCAGTTGCCCCAAGCTTACAGAGCCAACAAATAGTGGAGTCAGAATTTGAACTCAGGCAGCCTAACTCAAGAGCCCATGGTCTTCAGCATCATAACACATTGCCTCTCAAAACAAAATATTTATTGCAAACAAAAGATATTTTAGACTGTTTTAAACCAAAGACTTCCACATTATGTAAATGTGATAACCAATTTTACATAGCAACCAATTTTAGAAATCCCCAAAATTTTCAGTTTTTTACTCATATCTGAGTCATATTTGATGAGCTGTTTACTACATTGCTAGTTATATTACATTATCAGTTGCAATTATCAGTGTCTTTCCCGTATTGTGAAGTTTAACTGCAGTATTAATATTCTGTCTAATAGAGAAACAGTACTTTAAAATCATTTATTTCTGAAATATATTATGGTAATTACTGTTGAATGTTATATGTCCAACATTCCTGGAATTCAAAACAGGTTAAAAATAAAATGAAACCACATTACAAATACCTATCTCAGAAGACATTAGAAGTCTATACAGGTTTCCACGGCAACCCACTCTATGTAACCTCTTCTAAATCTTCTTTAACCAGTTCAATCTTTACCTCTAAACTACTTGGCATAGCACTTATTGTTTTCACTATTCTTAATATCTTCACTATTCAACTGGCATTAACCATTTGCCTTGTATTTTTATCTAATTATCATTTGTACAGCTCTTATATCAACTATATAGCCTAAATTTCTAAGGAATGGACTGGTATCATCATTCTTTGAATTATTTCTCATAGTACCAAGCACAATGCTATATACATAAAATGAAGGAAGAAAAGAAAGGAGGGAGGAAATGAGGGAGGGAGGGAAGAGTGAGGGAGAGAAGGAGGGAAAGAAAAATGGAAGGGATAGAGGGAGGGAGGGAGGGAGGAAGGAAGGAATTCCCTCCCTATTGAGCTTACTCACCAAGAGTTCTTAAGTCATCAAAGAACTCAAGTAGAGTAAGCATGATTTAAATAACCTTGGAAGGAAGAACTGTTTCATAATTTATTGATCTGATTACCAAATTTTTACCCAAAAGTTGGCAGGTCTTAATCTACTGGATAAATCAGGTACCACATAACCCTCTCCCAGCTAAGAGAGAAAAATAGCACAGTAAGCCTCTTCTTCATAACTTTGACAACAGAATTGTTTCTCAACTCTTTCAATCCTATGACCTATACGTGAATTTGCAAGGACAAATCAAGAGAAATGAAGAGTTGTATCCCTCTTCTCCAATCATCTATCCATTCATCCTTCCATCCATGAATTCAACAACATTGCATGCTTCCTATGTGCTAGGCTTTCTTCCAGGCTCTGGGGATACACCAGTGAACAAAACAGAAAAAAAAAAAAATCCTGCCCTCATGGAGCTTACATCTAGTCGGAGAGAGACAATAAAACAGATAAATAAGTAAAATATACAGTACATTATCTGTGATAAGTACTAAAGAAAAAAGTAAGGCAGGGGAAGGGACTATGAAGTACAGTGTCAGGGGAGAGATGCAGGGAACAGATAGGGTAGCCAATAAAGACCTTACTGAGAGGGAGACTTGTGAGTACAGACCTGAAGGAATTAAAGTAGGGAGCCAATAAATATCTTAGAGAAGAGCATTTCAGCCAGAGGGAAAAGCAAGCACAAAGGCTCTGAAGCAAGAAGGAGTTTGAATGTTCAAGGAATGGCGGGAAGGCCCATGAGGCTGAAGCAGAGAAAGCAAAAGGGAAAGGAGGAGAGGAGATCACAGAGGTCAAAGGAGGGAGGCAGATCATGGAGGGCCCCTAGATCACAGTAACAACTTTGGCTTGTACTCTGAGGAGATGGGAAGCCACTGGAGAGTTCTGAGCAGAGAGATGACATGATCTAAAGTACTTTCTGAAAGAATCACTCTGTTGCTATGAGGAAAATCAGGTGGGTCTGGGTTCCTGAAAGATAAGTGAAAAAAAGTACTTCAAAAGAAGAATGAGTAATCACCTGTGACAAATGCTGCTGTTAGGTCAAGTAAGGTGAGTACTGAATGACTTAGTCTTTGCAACATGGAGGACACCAACAATCCTTCAAGGAGCCATTTCAGTGGTATGGTAAGGAAATAACATCCTTGGAAGTGACTTCAAGAGAGAATAGGGCAGAGAAATTGCGGACAGTCAGAAGAGGTAACTCTTTCAAGGAGTTATGCTATAAAAAGAAAGAGAAATGAGGTAGTAGCTGAGGGGTAAATGGGGTTATGTGGGTTTAAGATGGGGAAAAATAAAGCCATGTCCATATGTTGATAGAAATAATCTAGTAGAGGAGCAAAAATTGATCATATCGGAGGGGAGAATTACTGGAACAATATTCTCAAGTAGGAGAAAGGAGATGGGATTTAGGGCACAAGGGCTAAGAACATACTCAAGGTAATAGGAGACATGGCAGAGTAAGTGGGCATAATTACACAAAGAATAGGTGAGTAGATGTGATTGTGGGAGCTTGTGAAAATCACCTCTGATTGCTTTAGTTTTCTTAGTGAAACATAAAGTAAGGTAATCTAAGAATGAGGATGTGAGAGATGGTACCGGAGGTTTTAGGAGAGAGGTATTGTTATAAAATAGTCACCTAGAAGAGTGGAAGTATTAACAGCCCACGCGAATCTTATATGATTGCTGGGCAGCGTCAAGGACCCCTTGAGGTTAATGATCATGAATTTAAAGTGAAACCATAAGGATAGTACAATGCAGAAATGCTGGCACTCAATAGGCAGAGATCTAAATTTAATCTAAAGTTTTGATTTAGGCAAGAAAGTAAAATGAACTGAGAAGGTGATAAGGGAACTAGGGGAAAATGCAAGGGAGTGGTTTTAATTATTGACGGTGAAACAAACTGAGTAGGTGAGTGGGAAGTAAGGACTAGAGAGGGCAAACGATATCAAAAGAAAAACAAAAACGTAGATTGAAGATCCTGGTGGGGTCCAAGGATTGTTAGAGTTGGAGTGAGCCTGAAAAACAGGACTGGGATGGTTGGAGAATGGGACCTATAGAGATAAATGAGTTGTAGTTATTAGTAATATGAAATTGAAACTATGAAGAAGGGAGCAAGTGACTGGGGAAAGGTGAAATTATTGTAGGAGAGGAGGGCAGGAACTGAGAAACTAGGGTATTGGAAAGATCATCTACGTGAATACTAAAGTCACAAGAGTTATGACAGAAGTGTTAAGAGTGGCAGAAAGCCAGGAGCTGAAATTTGACTGCAACAAGGAATGGTAGTGCCTGACATAATCTGATGATGTGAGATGCAAACCTGAGCGTTTTTTGAGTTTTTTTTTTCCTGAGGAAGACTCACCCTGCGCTAACATCTGTTGCCAATCTTGCTTTTTCTGCCTTAGGAAGATTCGCCCTGAGCTAACATCTGTGCCAGTCTTCCTCTATTTTGTATGTGGGTTCCGCCACAGCATGGCTGACGAGTCATATAGGTCCATGCCTGGGACCCAAACCTGTGAACTCTGGCTGCCAAAGCAGAGCGCACCAAACTTAACCACTAGGCCAAGGGGCTGTCCCCAAAACTAAGCGTTTTGAGAATGGGAGGAAGAAAGGTCTGGAAGCAGCTGTGAGAATCAAGAAGGGCATCTATTCCCCCTCTGGTGCCAGCGGTTCTGGTAAAGAGAGAAAACAGCCACCACTAGCCATACCCTATATTCTGCCCATCACACTCCCAAACACACATCCTTTCTCATTTTCCCTTACATCTTGGTTGTCAACATGTGATTCATCAAAAACTACCAAAAAGAAGTGAAGTAATTCAAATCCCTCTGAAACATCAAAACAACTTTTTAAAGTATCATGATCAATTAATTTCCTGTGTAGACCAAGCTACAAGGGTTTTCCATTCCTTGCTGGAGTATAGAATTTTCAAAATTTTGTAATTTAATAGATAAAGTTGGGGTGGGGGAGGATTCTTTGTTTATTCTTAGATGAAATCACAGAATCCCTAACAGAGCTAGAATGACCTTAAAAATCTTTCTAGTCTAATCCCTTAATTATTCACGAGGAAAGTGATGCACAGAGATTGTGACTTGTCCACACAATGTACACAACAAAATAGTAGCAAAATTCGGTTCTCTCACTCCCAAATGCAGGGATAGTTCCACTAAATTCCACTGCTTCTTAGTAAATCAAGAGGCAAAGCTGAGGCAGAAAAAAAGAGAATCTGACTCCGAAGTCCATCATAATACTCGATTTTGCTGAGTGCTTAATGTTTACATCGTGCCTCAACAATTGTACTTTCTCACTTGGTGAATTATCACCACCTCCACAGAATAACTCGCTGCTTCTTTCTAACCACCGAAAGGCGACATCCCTTCACAAAGTACTTTCTACTCTCTCCTTTCATACAGCTTCCCTCACAACCTGCCTGGGGACTGCAAACGTCCATTAACAGCAACTGCATACACAACTTCACTGCATCTACTGCCATTAAAGTTCAAATTAAATTTATCACCCCCAATTATGATCTTTGTTTAACAAATACTGAGTGAACATCCACTTCATGCAAGAATCTGTGTTCTGGAGGATTCCGAAAGGCTCTGCTCTTACGAAGCTTATGACTTCTTTGGGAAGAAAGTAAGTAGACGTATCAACACGTCAACTACCCGCCATTTCTGAGGGACCGCCGGGTCTGGCGCAGTCACCCCTCACTCTGCCCCTTGACTGTCTCGTCACCTCGCTGCCATTTCTGGAACATTCCCCCATCTCCATACTGTTCTACTTTGCCCCTACCGTGTCGCACTCTTCTCCTTCAGCCTCAGAGGCTCTTGCTCCCCATCGCCTCCCCAACTCCGTCCCCAGATAGTCCAACCATGGCCCCCGGGCTCCCCGCGCTGTCCCTCCCTCCCTCACGGCCCCGAGGCCCGCTCCTCCGCAATCGGAGAGTCCTCCCCTCAGGCCCCTCGGCCCCTGGCGCGGCGCGACGCGACTCTCTCGCTACGCCGCCTGCTCGGGCTCCCGCGCAGCGCGGCCCCGCCCCCAGGTCACCTGACCGAGCCCGACGCTCCGCCCATCTAGCAGCCCGCGCAGGGCGAGTGAGAGAGCTGGGACGCCGCTGCTGTTCCGGCGTGGGGGCTCCGGGGCCGCCCGGAGCGGCTGAGCTCGCCGCTGCCTCAGCGCCGACTGGAGAGCGCTGCGGCCGCGCCCGTCTGCCGCACCTCATAAGGGCCTGTGACCTCACCAGGCCGGGGTTCGGCGGCCTGGACAGAAGGGCGGGGATTCTCTCCGCGCGCTTTCCTTCCCGCACCCCCTGCCTCGATTTCGACCTCCATCCTTCACGCTCCCTGCGCTTCCTGCAGCTCTGTTCATTCTCCGCTGCGCTGTCCCTCCCTAGTCTGACCCTATTTCAATTTTATCTTCTATCCATCCTTTGAATGCTTCCCGCCCTCCCTTTCTTCGAAAACATTCCATCCTTCTTGGTTTCTACTACTCAATAATGGACAGCAGCTCGAAGCCATTTGTCCCCCTACTTTGCTGAAATTTGTTCCAGGCTGCCCTTCAGCGGACTAACGCTTACTTTTGGAAGAGATATTTTGTTTTTCTTTGAAAAATTTTTCGTGTATCCTGCAGACGAAATGATATTGGTCAAAGAAAAGACGCAAAGTGATTTTTCTTGGCTTCCCGTCATGTCCCTAAAACGTTGTATAAATCCAGTTCGGTGAAATGAATCATTTTTAAAGTTTGTTAAAGTTGTAAATGCTCTGTCAAACAAGGGCATTTTGAAAATATTTTCCCCCAAAAGCCCACGATTTAAAGTATCTTTTCTTTACAAACATATAGGTAAATTTGTTCACATTGATTGATCCACCTGAGCTCTGTCTCCGTTATTTACATTTTGGTGAACAGCATGCCTTAGAGACATCTATCCAAAGTCAAATCCTGTTGTTTTTTTTTTTAACCATATGCAGTGAGGCGAATTCCTTATGCTCTCTAAGCCTGGATTTTCTCATTCTTCCAGGATTGTGATAATTCAAAAATGTACATGTAGTACTCGATAAATGTTACAAATTGCTTCTGTGATATTACTGTGCTCATTTGTATCTTAAACCCTGCTCTGTAGGTATTCTTTAGTACTTTTAAAATGTATGTGGTTTATCTCCCTAAATAGTCTATAAACTAATCTGAGTGCTGAAACCATGTCTTTTATTTTTGTAAACATTTCACCCTGCATTCCCTACTTCCCCATCCTCCACCCTGTTTACCAGTCACCTCTATTAATGAACTCCGCCCACTTTTCACCTATTCATAAAGCACCAACTTCCCTAATGTGTAAGGATTGTAATAGGTTCAATCTGTATACTGATCAACAGATGGTGGATACTTAACAAATGTTAAACATTTGTAGTTTTTTAGAACTGAATCTATTGGTGAGTTAGTTACTGTATTAGTCAGTTTCACAGACCCCCCCCCCCAATAACACTAAGGGTATATTAGTTAAGATTAGATTCTTCTACCAGTAACAGAAAATCCTTAAATAATAGTGGCCTAAGCAGGATTGAATTTTATTTCTCTCTCACATTCAAGAGGTTCAGAGAGAGTCACACCAGGGCTGATATTATGCACCGTAGTTGCAGGGACACAGGCTTCTATTTTATGCTCCACTGGCTTTTATTCCAGTGATGGTTTAAGGGAGGTACCTCAGAGTAACTTTCAGTCAGACAAAAGACTCGATAAAGATTTTAAGGTTATGCTTCTCATATCCTCTCGTTCAAACAATAGGGCTAACTAAAAAGCTTAAGGGCCTTGTCCTTCAGCAGAAGCCCAAGGTAGAGAAAGATTTCTCTCAAAAATATTTATGGATAAGGCTTTTATCTCATGGACTGAAACCCAATAAGAGTCACAGGAAAGTCACAGTTTTTTAAAGAGCCTTGTATTGTGAGAAACACTGCCAGCTTGGGCTGAAAGAGACAGAGTACAAAAAGGAAGGTGGCCTTTGGACTATCAAGTTCTATAAGCAGGAAACAGGCTGAGAAGACTAATTAGGTGCAAACACATGCCACCTTTCATGAAAAAAAGATGACATGGAGAGTGAAACCAAAAGCCTACAAGGTAGAACAAAAAGCCATGGAGAATTATTTCCAGGTCTTGAATGTGGAACTATAAACCTGTACCGGAGGGAATTTCAGAATTTCTATTGACCAGGGACTTCTGTGCATCTCTTGTTTTCTGCCTGTTGGAACAGGAGCGTCTGTGGCAGTTATCCTATTTGTCCCTCCATTTTACATTGGTTGTTGTAGGAAAGGTCCTGTTCACAGGACTTCAGATTGAGAGCTACTGTACTCAAGGAGTTATATATAAGGAACTATATCCAAGAAGCCTCCTCTGCCCCTGGACCTATTTAGAGGATAAGACTCCAAACTTTGAGCTGATGTTATAATGGGATAAGCCTTGGGAGGGGTGAGTGCATTTTTATGTGGGAGGACTATAAATAATTTGTGGACTGTGGTGGTTTTAACATATGTCCACAAATACTTTGATGCTTTTATTAGTTTCCTATTGCTATTGTAACTAATTACCACTAACTTCGTGGCTTAAACAACAATTTATTATCTTACATTTCTGGAGGTCATGAGTCCAAAATGGGTCTTACAGGGCTAAAATCAAAGGCTGCATTCCTTCTGGAGGCTCTAGGGGAAAATCCATTCCTTACTTTTTCCAGCTTCTAGAAGCTGTATGCATTCCTGACTCATGGCCATATCACTCTCAGTTGCTTCCATCATTATATTTACTACTTTTACTCTGACTCGCTTGCCTTCCTCTTACAAAGATGCTTGTGATTACATTAAGCCTACCCAGATAATCCTTGATCATTTTCCTATCTCAAGACCCTTAATTACATCAGCAAAGTCCTATAGTCCATGTAAGATAATGTATTCACTGGTTCTGGGGATTAGGACATGGATACCTTTGGGGCAGGGGGGGTGGGGCCGGGAAGGTGCAGGCAATGATTCTGTCTACCACAATGCTCCTCCCTTCAAGAAGTGGCATCTAGTTGCCTCCCCTTGAATGCGGGCTGGATTTAGTGAGCTACTTATAATGAATAGAGTATGGCAGAAGTGATGATGTGACACTTACAAAACTAAGTCATAAAAGACATTGCAGCTTCCTCGTTGCTCTCTCTTGGATTACTTACTTTGGGAGAAGCCAGCTGACATGTGGATACTCAAGCAGTCCTATGGAAATGAATGATAAGGAACTAAGCCTATTGCCAATAACCAGTGTGGAACTGATGCCTCCTGCCAACAGCCCTGTGAGTAAACCATCTTGGAAGAGGATCCTCCAGCACCTTTGAGCCTTCAGTTGACTGTAGCCCTGGCCAACAGCTTGACTACAACCTCATGAGCCTCTCTAAACCAGAACCACCCAGCTAAGCCATTCCTGAATACCTGAGCACAGAAACTGCAAGATAATGTTTGTTGTTTTAAGCTGCTAAACTGTGGGGTAATTTGTTGTACAGCAATAGACAACGGATACAGTCCCCTAGGTCACATCTTGATCCATGATGTTTGCTTAAATTCTAGCTATTATCTCTACATTACAGCCTGCAGGAAGAAGGAAGGGGAGAAGAAAGTCTTGCTCCTTTCCTTAAGTGGCACTTACTGGAAGATGTATGCACCTCTTTTATTTACATCTCACTGTCTATGAGATGGCCATGACACACCTAGCTGCAAGAGAGGCTAGGAAACATAGTATTTATTCTGGGTAACCACGTGCCCAGCTAAATATTAGGAGTTCTAATACCATATGAGAAGGAGGAAACAGATACGGGGGCAAAATTAGCAATCTCTGTCACAATGGGTGATTATAAGGATCAGGAAAAGCAAAGTCCAGGATACATCCCTCAACATTTTTCCTTTTTCTTAACAAAGTATTTCCATTGGCCACCAAATGATATTTTACACACCCATCACTCTGATCTTTCCAAAGAATCATGCCAATTGTGTATGAGTCACGGGAACACCCAACTAATATATTAGGTAAAACACAATGAATTCTGAAAATTTTTCCTTACAAAGTTATTTTCAGGGACACTGATATAGAATAATTTACAATGGAGGCTTTGCCTAAAGGCTCTTAAATTTCCTAAATGTTGCTTTCTAGATACTTACATTCTGTTTGCATTCTTTGATGTATTGTCAGAAAATACACAATCGATGAAAAATGTTTCCTCTGTGCAAGAAGTTGGAAAGACGTCACTATGACATTAGCAGTAGTAAGGAACACAGTCATGTTCCTGACCTATAATTTTCCATTCACAAACAAACCATTCGTGGGTAGCCACATTAAGTGGATTTTTAAAATTTTATTTAACAATATGGTTAACCCTGATCACAAGCATTTAAAATTGCCTCCTTGTGTGTTTTAGTCAAACTAAAACAAATTAGGAATATAAATTTTCAGAAATATATTACAAAACCAAATAGAAATTTTTTTTCAACAAGTGTTAAATGGCTTACTTGCAAACCATATGTTTTTGTTTCCTTACATCAGTGTGAAAAATGAGCGCACCGTAATTCCAAGACAACTGCTTGTAATTGGTCCCAGTGGTCATTAGATGGCTGTTACCATAGAGTTCAGACTACAGAGGCCAAGAGTTAAAGGATTACAAATATGATTTGACATAGCTTTTCATTTCATTTTCATGTAAAGCCCTCCATTTTCATCCAGACATTTAGTCGTCAGTTACCATGATGTATATAAAACACAGTGAATCTTATAAAATTTCACCATAAAAGGAGTCAGTCTATGTTCACATAATCTTTTTATGATGTCACACACTGTATTGTGTTCAAAAAATGTACATTATGTAAGGAATGTAAGACTCAAAGGCAAAGATTATGCTATGAGTGTTCTGTAAAGTACTTTAATCCCACACTGTCGGTGCTCAATAAATTTTAAATAGCAAAAAGTAAAGTTACAAATTCTAAAGTCTTATTCTGGCATCCTATAAGATGATAATGTTAATAATTAGGATTTTGATCCCACCTCCCGTGAATAAATGCTGTAAGAGTATTTTCTTGCTTCAACTTGGTACATGTAAAAGGTTTTCTTAGATGCCTGCCAAGTATCCGTTAGCTTTTTTTCCCCTGTGATTCTGATCTATTACTTCTTTTAGTTTTTCATGGAAAGTTGTGGCTGTGAGTGAACCCAAGAAGTCTGTAATCACTTAACTTGGAAAATGGATCAAAAGTAGATTTTCATTTTGTGTGGGTAGATATTTGATTTTCTTAATCTAACAGCCAAGTTATGTTTTTAATCTTTTAGTAACTGAGCTGACTTGCTGTAAACGTCTTTCTAGGCCAAAAGGATAGGCATGTGACTCCTTATATCAGTAGTTCTCAAACTTGAGCATGAAGCAGAATCACCAGGAGGGCTTATTAAAAACACAGAACTCTGGGCCCCACTATCAGATTCTCTGATTCAATAGTGCTGGGGTGAGGCCTGTGAATTTTCATTCCTAACAAGTTCCCCGGGTGATACTGATGCTGTGGGTCCTGGGACCATACTTGGAGACCCACTGGCTTAAACAAAAGTTGAGCATTTAAATGTTCCTGTAAATAATTTGCCATAAGCCTTTATTTTACCAATTGATGCTGCCTGCAAACAAAACTTAGGCTAAATTGACAGTTTGTTCTGTTGAGGTTATACAAGTTCCTAAAAAAATCCCCAATTAAAAAAAAAAAAGAAAAAACCTCTAACTCTTAGAACAGTAATAACCTACTCATTTTGAAAATGTTGCTCAAGTCTAAAGAAAAGCTCTGGGTTCTGAAACTAACTTCAGTTCCTGGAGTAGCCGTCATTCTGTTACATTTGGAAACATGCTTGTTCTAAAATAATCATTTGTGAGGCAATGACACTTATTCTTTTCACCCAAAGGAAACACAAATAACAACACAGGAAGCACTGGGCAGCCTTAGGCCAATTCTTTTTGGAAAGCACATTTAATTCACTGTTGCACAACTCAAACAGAGGAGGTGGTTAGGAAGTCAGGAAGGCACTTAAGTAATTTCAACCAGGAATACTTGACAAAGAGAAGTATCTTGAAATCATGGATGGTCTAGGAATATCTGAGAGGTAAAGAACTGACTCCTGATGTGACAACTTCTCAGAAATGTTCCAAGTTTCCCATTATTGTCCACAGACCCTGAGATTGAACGTAAATTATCTCCAAGAGAGCTAGGTACAAATAACCTCTTTGGGCTGTGTTGTCTGATGCCGAAATACTGTATAAGTGTTTACCCTACATGATGCCAAAACTGACTGCTATTTGCTGTCTCGTGAACATAGTTACAGGTTCTCCCCACATGCAGATAAACAGTACTGGTCTTCAAGGCCGAGGAGCCTCATTCCAGAAGCTCAGACAAAATTCCTACTGATTTTTTCATCCTTTGGATACACTCTTTGACAGTTTTTTCATATCAACTATCTTATCTAAAGAAAATGTCCAACTACTACCCTAATGGACTCTTGTCTCAGTAGCCAAAGGTTACAGTAAGGTTCTAAACCTCTTGGATTCATGATCATCCCTCCCCCATTTATCCCTTACCATCCCCTATAGTAAGGAGTAATCCGTGAGTGAGACAGGGCTCAGTCATCTGCCCCATTCCTAATTCCAAGGCTTATTCTCAGTGTTAACACATGGATACAGAATACACCTTTCAGCTACTTCTTATGAATTCCTCTTCCCTAATATGTGGATGCAAATGTGTGCAAAGTGAACAAAGAAATAATAATTAAGTGGAGCTTAAGTGCTACATCAGCAGATATAACTGCTAACAAAAGTTGGAGGGGTTCTGAGAGAGGATAGAACAAGGCTTCTTAATCAAGAAAGGTAATATGTAATAATATCTGCTCTTGCCAAAGCCAGGTCTCGCAGATATCCCCACTTAAAAAACAAACAATACCAACATTCCACAGAATCTTGACTGCATGTTTGATGCCACAGCATCTTAGAATGTTGATATTGAAACAGACCTTCTAGACTAGCTGGTCTAAACCCATCATTTTTCAAACTAGAAAACTGAGCCTCAGGGAGAAGAAAGTGACTTGCCTTAATTAAGGTTAAAGGTTCCTTAGCTGCAACACTGAGGTCAGGACTTAGATGTGGTCCTTCCCTTTTTCTTGGGGGGTAAGGGTGGTTGTTAATGTTGAAAGAATGTAAGCACCCATGGAGCAACAGCTGTTGCTAGGAAAAAAGCACAGCCCATTTCCCTTCTCCTCAAGAAAGTCCAGCATATCCACGCATCCACCCCACAGACTTCCAGGAAGAGGGAGCCCTCACAGACCTGACAACTAGACAGCGACCTCCTATGAATGATGCCAAGTGGGAGTGTCTGTATTCAGCCCAAGTCTGTGTGGTTTTTTAATACTCTCCTTCCTCCTTGTCACATAAAATTACAAATATAATGCAAGTGTGTTTCTATACATGTTCCTTTAGATTAAGCAAAGCCTCATCATGGTTTCAGGTGCCCCAAGGAGAAAAATAAAATAAAATTGTACTTGTGGCCTCTCAGATTAAAGACTGAGTTAACATATGGTTGCTTAGCCCATAGGAGAATAGGCCACACATGTTGCTACAACTGGCCCATCATTCCACCCTGGCACTTATGCCCAGCAGACTCAGAGACCCATGGGAATGATTCCTTCACAAGACACCCAAGAGGTAGATAAATGCAATCATCCCCATGGATGGACATAGCACAGAGAAGCACAGGGTTGGGTGTGTGGAGGTGCCTTGGACAAGGGGCAGAAGGCCTGAGGGCAGGGCCAGACCTCTGGCTCTAACCATAGCACTCTTCCTGGGAGGAAAAGCTTTTGGTCATGAGAGAAATTCCCAGTACGTAGCAAATGTCTACAGCAGTAAGAGTGTGGAAGTAGGAGTAAAGAGGTGGTGCTGGTCTAAGTGACACACTTCTTCTAAAAGAACCTCTAGGGTGGAGCTGCCAATAAGGCAAATCTGAGGGTGATGATTATGAACTGGGAGACCCTGGCACATTCCCCCAGGCCATGCATGACCCCTGGGTGACCCTGCCAACCTCACTCCAAACAGATCAAAGAATTAGGTAGCAAGGACTCCCCGTATGAGAGAACCATGCTGGATTGAGGTGATGGTAAAGGCATGGGCAACTCTGAGGGTTCAGCTCTCCCCTGATTTCTCCTTCAGCCTGAGGGAAGGGAAAGGAGATAGAGGCACAGATGACACAACAAGGCTGCAAAGCCCAGCAGTTCCTACCATAACTGCTGAGAGTCAGGCCCAAGAACCATAAACTCAGGGTAGAGTCAAGGTCCATTTCTCTGGAATGAGAGGCCTCAGCTTTGCCCTTCTCTTCAGGGAGAATAGCCCGAAAAGGAAAGCTGGCTTCTCGCTGAGGTAATAAAGAACACCTGCTCAGCTACGTGGGTCGTGGGTCACCCTCAGGTTAAGCAGGAAGAATCCCTGAAGGAGGCATTCTGAGGACAAAGGCTGAGGAGCTCCGCTTATCTGTGACACATCACAAGTTTTAAATTACACATTCCCCCTCACATAGCACACTCACACGCACACATGCACAGACCCACACTTCCACATACTGACATTCTTCTAACCCACCCCACTCCAAGCCCCCAATCCCACCCCACAGATATTGTCCCCTGTAAACATGACAGCAGAGACGCCTACAATCCTGGGACAGTCTGGTAATGATCTGAGGACAACTCCTTCTCATTAAGTGCCCCGGTAGGTGACGTTGGTGAAGGTGGATGTGGCCTCTTTATACAGTGGGTTGTTGGCCTGCGGAGAGAACAGAAAAGTGAATTCCTCAATTCTTCCCTACCCTCGAGGCTTACATTTCATCTGAGAAGTTTTCCCAAGACACCCTTCTCCGGGATATACCATCAATGAACAGCTTAATGCTCATTGTATTCACATATTCTCTCTTAAGATGGGAACGGATAGGAAATACGAGGAGAGATAAGGGGGAATGTCATCCTGCCACTATTTCTAAGTGGTTAAATTCAACCCATCACTTTTTGGTGATCCCAAAACATTTCAGGATAGCTTCTAGCCGACATCTCCTATTTCCTCCCCCTCTCCCACACTATCTCTTTTGCCCTTCTCCCCTTTTTCCTTCATTGTCACCATGCTGGGGGATGTGGGCAGGGAAGAGAAATGTAGCAGGTGGTGGTTGGAACATAGAGGACAGCTTTTGCCCAAATAATTCTTTTGTGTGTGTGTGTGAGGAAGATCAGCCCTGAACTAACATCCATGCCAATCCTCCTCTTTTTGCTGAGGAAGACCGGCCCTGAGCTAACATCTATTGCCACTCCTCCTCCTTTTTTTCCCTTTTTCTCCCCAAAGCCCCAGTAGATAGTTGTATGTCATAGCTGCACATCCTTCTAGTTACTGTATGTGGGATGCTGCCTCAGCACGGCAGGACAAGCGGTGTGTCGGTGCGCACCTGGGATCCGAACCTGGGCCTCCAATAGCGGAGTGCACGCACTTCACCACTAAGCCACGGGGCCGGCCCCACTCAAATAATTCTTAATTTGTTTTCATCTCATCTCTTCAAGCACTACCCAAAAACAATCATGTTATTAGGAAAAAGTAGGACCCTCACTAAGTTTCCCAAATCATTTTCTAACAAAAAGTGACAAATCTTGGGGCAGGCCCTGTGGTATAGTGGTTGGGTTCGGCGAGTTTCTCTTCAGCTGCCCAGGTTCACGGGTTCAGATCCTGGGCACAGACCTACACCATTCGTCAGCCATGTGGTGGAGGCAACCCACGTATAAAGTAGAGGAAGACTGGCACAGGTGTTAGCTCAGGGCTAATATCCCTCAGCAAAAAAAAAAAGTGACAAATCTCATAAGGTCTGGTAGTCCTTAGTAGTAGCTTCCAGAAATGGAACAGATTCTCATGTGCTTCAGAGGTTCAGGATTTCTACATTGTACTAACAGAAACATCTCAGTTTCTTGGCACCCTTGGGCACAAAGGCCTGAGGTCACTATCAAATGGGAACAAACTTTCAGCCTACTCCTGAACATTCAGCCATTTGGAAGGTCCAGAAAAAAGTTAAAATGTGGAAGATGAGCCAAAGGAGAACAGAGTAAAATCAAGTATATAGAAGGTTCTCAATAAATGCTTGTTTGATTGAATTCAATCAGGATTGACTGCAGGGAGCATAAAAGTGGAGTCTGGTTTGGAAGCTACCATCATCATCTGAGGAAAAAGAAGAGAATGAGATAGAAGGACATCCTGCCACTATTTCTCAGAGGCTGACCCAAAAAGTAATTCCTATAGTAATCTAATTCCCTCCCACAATTAGGCAAGCTACCTAACTTCTCTGTACTATTTCCTTACCTATAAAATGGGAATAATAATGTTGCCTACCACATAGGATTGTCAGAGAGATGAAATAAGTTAATACATAAAAAGCATTTAGAATAGTTCCCGGTACATGGTAAAACCTAGGTAGATGTTAGCTATTATTTTTTTTTTCTGTTTGTGTTTAATGCCTTGCACTTCATCAGTATATACTGTATTATATATTCTCAATGTAGGATTCTCAAGTTTGTCCTGTCTCCCTCAATTGGAGAATAAGTTTCCTTTTCATCTCTTCACAATGTTCAGAGCAGAGCTGGGCCCTATCTGTGGTCAGTCAGTACTCACTGATATGGCTCATGGTCACTGGGTGGTAGAGAGAGAATCAAGCGGTTTCCAGGAAGTATAAGCACAACAGGACAGTCGGACCATCTCCCAATTTCCAGAACAGAGGCCATCTGGGAAACTATGGTGCTGGCTGAACATGGCCACCCTAACCATCTGCAGCCTTCACTTCAGCCTCTCAAACCTATGACTTAAGAAAACACCCAGCCTGGCCCAGCCCAGCCTCTTACTGTATCCCATTTTGCTCTGGCTCTCTCTTCCTCAAATTTAGCAAACTCCTTCCGGTCATGGATGGTGATGAGGAGCTTCCAGATGAGCAGAGTAGCAAGGCCGATGAGCAGAATGGCCCCCATCACTGAAAGAAGGACCACCAGGATGTCAGGACCCTTGGGACACTCTGTTAGGAAAGAGCACAGAACAAGGGGGTTGTGAATGGAGCAGGAATCACTTGAACTGGCTAGTTCAAATAAGATCTTCTTGACAAAGTAATAAAGTTCTAGAAAGTTCTCTGAAGGAAATAGGACTTATAAAGTAAATCAATTAATTTTTAAAAGGAGGGGGGCGCCAATCTTTAGGACAGCAATAATCTGTCCTGAGTGGTTAAAATCAGAAGTCATGAGCTGGTCACCCATGGGCAGAATCTAGCCTACTTGGCATGGGTTCACACAACTGTTTATTAAAAATTTGATTTTGTTGGCACCATTGAAAAATCAGGAGATTCTTCCCCTAAAATTTCAGATTCTTCTTCTTCTCTTTAAAAAAAAAAATCAAAAGATCTAGAAACACTGAACCTATATTTTTACAGGACAGCAACTGCCTAGAGGTGAGGAGAAGCTACCCCTTTTAGATGGGATGTGTTTTCTAATTTGCCAGAATCCTCACCACTCTCTCTTTCCTCCACTAAATGGCAGCAAAGTGTGACTTGTCACAGAGTCTTCGCTACTGTGGGCTCTGGAGCCAGACTGCCTGGGTTTGAACACTGGCTTACCACTTACTTTGCTATATGATCTTTGATAAATTATTTAACCCTTCTGGGTGTCTGTTTCCTGTTTCTCCATCTTTAAAATGGAGAAAGTAACAGCACTGACTTCAAAAACTTGTTGTGAGGAATAATTAAGTTAAATATATTTAAAGAACTCAAAACAGTGCCTGGCATAGAGTCAGTGTTCAATAAATACCAGCTGCCATTATTGCTGGTGTTCTTGTTATATCCAGCTGTTTTCACCAATTTATTTATCTAGCTCCTGTAGGCATTTGAGTTTGTTACCCTGGTTCAGATACTTACCACCCTGAGGGGTGCTAACCTAATGACCTTTTTAGTATACTTAGAGATCAGGCGGCCTGCCAACCAAGACAACATTTTGGGTTCCTTCCCAAAATATTTAGTCATCTAAAATCCTAACCCTATTGAGAGCTGACTTCCTGTTCAACCCCAGTCAACAACCCATACAGACAGAGGTGCGTCACCCCATACTTACTGAGTATGCTCTGCAGAGCTCTGCTTCCCAAAAACCACGGATGTCTGATGGGTGACCTCACTCTGGTAACTTCTCAGGTGTTATGTAATTAGCTGTTTGTATATGAGTATTGATGGGTCTGGAGAGGAGGTCACACCCACTTTCCACACTGTCTCCCACCTTCTTCTCTAAACATACACCCATGCTCACCACATACTACCCAAAAACAACTACCACCACAAACCCAAGCTGGCTATTTCCCAAGCCACCAAATTACAATATGTCTACAATTAAAGGAGCTCCTGGAGAGAAGCTGTGAAGTTCCAGTGTCCAATTTCCCAGGAGTGAAGGGCCCCAGTGCTTCTGGGAAAAGCAATTATAAATTCTCTGGAAGACTGAGGTAGGGCCAACTCTCAAATGTCAAAATGAAATCTCTTCAATTCTGCATGTCAGTATGGGCAGGACAGGTAGAATGCCAGGAGGTCTTCAGGGGAAAAAGAAATCAGTTAACCCTCTATCCTGAAAGGGGTGGATGGCAGACTCCCTTGAAGCAAAAGACAAGATCAGGTGGTCTCTGGAGAGCCCTCTCAGCCACAGTGATGAGGACCCATGGTGGGTGACCCCAGGTCAGGAAAGACTAGGTAGAGTTAGCAGATTTGACAAACAAAAGCACAGGAAGTCTAGTTAAATTTGAATTTCAGATAAACAACAAATAACTTTTTAGCATAAGTATGTACCAAATATTTGCATGGGACATACTGTATTTTATCAGGCAGCCCTATCTGAGAGTGATGAGGGCCCAACTCAGGGGAGCCCATTCCACGTGGGCTGAACACCACTTGGCCACTGGCAAACCCTGTGGCAGTGCTCTGTTTACTGCCCTTCAATGGCTCAGCCCTTCAAAGAGAGCATCTGCAGGGGCTGGCCCCATGGCATAGCGGTTAAGTGCGCACGCTCCACTGCTGGCAGCCCGGGTTTGGATCCCGGGCGTGCGCCAACACACTGTTTCTCAGGCCATGCTGTGGCAGCGTCCCATATAAAGTGGAGGAAGATGGGCACAGATGTTAGCTCAGGGCCAGTCTTCCTCAGCAAAAAGAGGAGGATTGGCATGGATGTTAGCTCAGGGCTGATCTTACACACACACACACACACACACACACACACACACTAAATAAATAAATAAATATTTAAAAACAACAAAAACAAAAACAAAGAGAGCATCTGCAAGAGCATGAGTCCGGGAAGAGAATGAGAATAATCTCCTCCTACACTCATGTACCCCAGATGCTACATTCTACTCAAAACCAGAGCTCCTGAAAATGGTTGGGGGTGGGGAGTGAGAGGAGAGGCAGAACTTGGAATTCCAGGACAACGAGATAGGAAATGTAGGTCTGGGGTCCCACCTCCTAATGTGGAGGAAGGAATCTACTGGCAGTACGCCAGAAAAGTTACCCCCAGGAGGTTATTTGTACCACCCTAGATTATCATCACCTTTGTTCTCCACAACTCCAGGCAGGAGATTCCAGTCTCAGAATACCAAGCCAAATGATTTTGGTAAGTGATACAGCAGGAGCACTAGAAGGATTGTTGTAGCAAAGAGATGAAGTAATGTTAAATCCAACAGCAAGAACATACCACCCTTCTGAAATGAGAAGGGACAAAGGTACAGATAAGGTGGTTGTGGAAAAATTCATGAAATGTGTTAACACAGGTGGATGGGAAAGTGTAAGGAAGTCATGGTCAAATAATCCACATCTGCTCCCACAGAGATACATACCCAGGCTCTTCCCTCTCCCCTTCCCCACATCAGCCTTCCCTTGAGTCACTAAATAAAACTAAAGTGATGCCCTTTCTTTACCTTCCTTCTCCCTTATAAAGGGTGAGGGTGAGTGCTCTGGCAAAGGCTGATGAACAATATCACAGATGAGGGCACCATGCTCTCCTCTACCCATGGAGACAGCAATACCCCGGGTGACACAGTTGTAGCAGCTCTTTTCCCACTTTCATCCCCCTCCTTCTCAAGCACCAAAATTCTCCCAAGAGATATCAAGATGTATACAAGCCTGCCTGTCTCCTAGGAATAATCAGTCTTATTAATTCATTCAAAACCCATTTATTAACTATCTTCTCTGCAGATGACTAAGCCAAGTATGGGGATATTACAGTAGATTAGACAGATGCCGTTCCTGTGTTCATGGAGCTTATGAACTACCGAGGGAGACAGGTGATTGATGAAAGAAACAATTTAATAGTGTGATGAAGGCCCTTCTAAGGGAAGCACAGCTACTACGAGAGTCAAACAGCAGCACCAAACCTAGCAGCAGAATGGAGGCTAGAGGAGGCCTGAGAAGGCTCATGGGGAAAAATGTGTCTAAAGCAGAGGCACTCAAATATTGGGGTGTATCACAATTACCAGGAGCACTAATAGAGATCACAGAGACATAGGCTTGTGGAAGTAGGACAGGGCTCAGGACTCTGGATTTTTTACCAAGGGAACATACAAAAGTTTGAGAACCACTGCCCTAAAGCAGGGGCCAGCAAACTATGGCCCAGTGAACCAAATGTGGCTTGCCACCTGTTTTTGTAAATACAGCCAGGCCCCTTCATTTACGTATAGTCTACAGATGCTTTCCTGCTACAACAGCAGAGTTGAGTAGTCACGGCAGAGACTATACAGCCCACAAAGCCTAAAATATTTAACATCTGGCCCTTTACAGAAAAAGTTTGCTGACCCCTGGTCTAAAGGACGATTTAAAGAAATTCCTACAGCTGTAAAGAATGTCAAGCAACCAAGTGATTTTAGCCTCTGTCTTTAGCATTGTTCCTTTACTCCAGGAGTTCTCGCCCACTCCCCCCCGCCATACCATAGCCCTTATCCCTCTGCAGTGTCATTACTAATTTACACACCTGTCTCCTCCATGGCCTGTGAGTGCCATGTCTGCATTATTTACTGTTATATTCCCAGCACCTAGCTCAGTGCCTGATATATAATAAGTACTCAAAAATATTTCCTAATGATTCATATCTTAATCTGTTGTTTCAGGGAAAGAAAGGTGATGAAGGTGGTAAGAGGAGGAAAGCAAATCTCCTTCGATGGATGGTGACAAACCTGTGGTTGGTCTGTGTGTGATGGGATGAGCTCCTCCTCTTGAGAGTAAGCACTATCTTATTAGTGTTCAGGGCTGTGAACCTGGTAAGGTCAACACCTCCAACCATCAGGCCTTCCTCTGAAGCAGCAAGCAGGTTGCTCTTGGCAACCATTTAACGTTTAGTAGGGCAGATGCCGTGTGCTGAAAAGTGCTAGAATTTTTTTTCTTTTTTTTTGTGAGGAAGATCACCCCTGAGCTAACATCCGATGCCAATCCTCCTCTTTTTGCTGAGGAAGATTGGCCCTGGGCTAACATCCGTGCCTATCTTCCTCTGCTTTATGTGGGACACCGCCACAGCATGGCTTGACAAGCGGTGGGTCGGTGCGCGCCCAGGATCTGAACCTGCAAACCCTGGGTCGCTGAAGCGGCGAATGCACACTTACCCGCTACACCACTGGGCCAGCCCCTAAAAAGTGCTAGAATTTAAACTCCTCACTTCTTAACATTACCACTTCAAAGAAATGCCATGATATATTTTGTTCCTTGATGGGATCCATATCTACCTTCTTCCTCTCCTTACCCACCCTCTTATTTTTCTCTCTCTTCAATTAGCGAGTCACTGTCTTGCTCATATTTGTATTAATATATCCTCCATACCTAGACGACAGGCCCTGAAGCATCACTTGTAAGGCCAGGCTTAATCTGGTTGTTCTGTTTAAGAGGAGTGATGGGTGGAAATCACTGCCCAATATGGTTCTCCTTCTCCCTGGGGTTATGGCCAGGGGTCCTCAGGGTTCACTCACCTGGCTCTTCTACCACATAAAGGATGGACTTTCCACTGGAGTCTTCATAGTACTGAAATCTGACAACACAGTCATCCTCATTCTTGTAGGTACAATTCACTGCATCCTTGCCAGTATCCTCTGGGGAAAGATGGGAGAATGAAAAACGAGTCAAATCCTGGAAGATGGGGCCACCCCTGAACCCCAGTCATGAGACTTCTGGGAAAGTATATGACAGGAAACCCTACGCATGACATTAGGCAAGATGCCTGGATTTGAGACGGCTGTTGTGCCTGGTAATTGCCTCTAGATGACCCTCATTGATGTATTTTGTCCCTCACAGGCCCTTTTTGGTTTTTATTCCTTCCTCTGGAAGGGACATGACATAACATATTACACAATCCGATTCAAAGCCTGGTTATACCACCTACCAGCTGTGTGATCTTAGTTAGTTGAATGGTTATTCAACCTCATCAAGTCTCTCTTTCTTCATCTATAAAAGGAAGATGATACCCCCACCTCACAAGGTTGGTGGAGAATTAAACAGCATAAAGTAAACAGTACCTAACACACAACGGGTGTTCCCTTCCCCTCTTTCCTTTCTCTGCTTGCTCAATGATTCTCAATAGTTTGTTTACTTAGGCCTTATATTTCTTCCATTTCTGCTTCTGATCCAGAGTTCCTCTCCAGAGCCATTCTCTCTTTTCTGACTCCCATTATGTTTTATAGGTTTCATCCCTTCTAATTCTAAAACCTGTTATTCTGACAGGGAAACTATGGGTTACCCTCTATCAGCGGTACTGTGCCCTACACTGATGAAACCAGATGGGTAAAACTGACATACGATGAGATTAAGCAAATGTACCAAGGCCACACAGCAAATAAGTGATGGACTAGGACTAGAACGTGAGTCTCAAAGCACATCCTACAGACTGGAACTCAATAAGCCTTCAGTAAGCCAGCAGTATTACAGTACAGTGGAAAGAGTAAGGATTTCAGGATTTAGTTCTAATCTTAACTCACCATTAATTTGCTTGGACAATTTACTTAACTTCCCTGAGACTCAATTTCCTCAGCCTCAAAATGAAGATAATAATAGTACTATAGTTTACTTTACTGGGTTGTTGGGAGAAGAATAAGATAATGTGCATAAAAAGATACTTTTATAACTTATGTAAGTCATAAAATTCCATACAAATAAGCATTTGTTTTTATGATTACCATAGCGTGGGGGTGGGGGAAGAAATACTTATCAATTAACTTGTAATACCCATCTGGTCTAGATGATAAAAATATCTCACATTTCAGCAGCCTCTCCCCACTGAGCTAATCATAGCAAGCCCAGTCTCCTCCAGAGGAAAAGTTGTCTCTTCAAACTCAATCCCCAAATTGCTACCCTCACCTCAGCCCCACTTCTGCTATTAGCCCAAGGGTCCAGAGATCTGACTCTTTTCCATAACACCACCATCCAGAAGCTGACTGACTGGCTGTGTCTTACTGTGGCTCTCACTAAAGACGTGTTTCCTCCTTTCGTGGGAGATGGCTATCTATCTCTGGAGATAGCCATCTCCCTGACACCACCCAATGCTGAGCTGGCTCAGATAACCACATCAGATGTGCTGATGGCAGCAAAGACCATCTCCTTTTAAGTTAAGATGAAGTACAAACCAGAATAATTGCAGGCAAGAGTTTTGCTCCCCACTTTATTTCTGTCTAATTCCAGGAGGGGTTCCAGAGAGCCAAAAGGGCTTCAAGCTAAGATTTTGGCTACAAATCCATAATGGTGAAAGTTTCCTTCCAAACCAGCAAAGCTGTATGCCTGGACATAGCTTAATACTCTTAGTTAAGTAAACTTAGTAAATGCTTACTGGCCTACTAAGCTAAGACTGTCATGGGCACTCCCCCACTGTGTGCCTCAGTTTCTTCATCTGTAAAATGGGGTGCATTATCTTCCTTTCCTTGAGGAGGTGAAGTTAGGGTTGCCTGATTTATACATACTTGAAAAGTATTTGCAGGATCTTGCTGATTCTGTGGGCTCTGGGAAGCAGAAGGGGGAGGGACTGCTGCACAGATTGTAGAGGTGCAGGAGGATCCTCAGGGAAGCCAGCTTTTATGAAGTGCCTTCTGGGCATCAGGCCTGCACAACATGCCTTTGAGGTAGGAATTACTCTTCCATTTTACAGATGAGAGATGGATACATGCTGGGATTAAATCAGAACAACTTGGGACCTGGGTGTGTGCAACTCTAAGACATGCTGCACTTACTAAGCTCCTTCACAGACTCAATCTCATCACGACAGTAACGGGTGCAGGTATTTTTCTCGTAGAGAGCTCCCCGGTTAAACTTCTTACACTCCACACACTCCCTAAAGGAGAGAGGACATGGGGATTAAAGCAAGGGAGGAGCAAACCTCAGTGTGTTTCAGTCTGGCTCTGACCTCCATACACCCAGAAAGCTGGTCCACCTCAGAAAACAAACACACAAAGAGCAACATCTGTAAGACAATCCTGGGGCCCAGATAGTCAAATCTGGAGTTCAGGGATGGGAGTGCCCTCCTCACCCAGGCAGAGGCCCCCAGGTAACTTCATTAAACTTCATATCCTATCCAAGACTGTGACAGGAGGGTGAACCCTACGCCACTTCTAGGAACCTTAAAGTCAGAACTGGTCATGTAATTTGGGGGCCCAGTGGAAAACGAAAATATCAGGTCCCTTGTTCAAAGATTACTGAGCATTTCAAGACAGTGACAACAGAGCATTAAACCAATGGGGCCCTTCTAAGCACAGGGCCCTGTACAATGCACAGGTTATATACCCATCAATCCAGCCCTGCTTAAAATGGTAAGAGAAATGGCAGTGCCATGGACTTGGGCTGACAGGGGCTTCCTCTGACCCCCCCAATAAGTGAAGTTTGTCCTGGTAAACCTCATCTGTTTCACAGAGTGTCCTTCGTAAGTCCAGCCCCACATCTCCCACAGAATCAGAACATCAGCAATGGAACATTCCCCAGGAGTTACCTGGTTTAGCCTTCCTCCCAACTGAGGGTTTCAGGATGCCACCCTAGGAGAGGGGTTCCTCCAACTGGAGTCCAGCTGGTACTATTCTGGCCCCTTCACGGTTGGCTCTACCTCCAACTCTCCCCAGAGTTTTCAGTGGAAAGAGGAAAGCTAACCATCCGGCTGGAGTAGACTCCTCTCTCTAAAACTTCGGTGAGTAAGAAACGGAAACTTGAGAGCTGAAGATTCTAGTCTGGGGGACCCTCTTCCCACTCCCAGACACCCAACTCTCTCCAACTCACTTCTCTCCCCACTCACTTCTTAAAGGTGCAGGCATCAGGGCAGGTGGGACACTTCTCACAGGTGTCCCCGTAGGAGCCTGGCTGGATGCAGAGGCAGCTGCCACATTCGCACTTGCCCCGGCCACTGCACAGCAGCCCGTTGCTGGACATGCAGGTGTCAGTGCGTGTGGTACAGTTGCAGTAGTAGCCGGTCCAGTCGGAGTCACACAGGCAGTCCCCACAGCTGCACTGGCCATGACCTGAAAGCACACAGCCCAAGAGGGCAGACCAGCTGGTGAGGGCCCCCACCCCACGACAGAGGCTCCACCTGCTTTCCAGCTTTACCTCTCATCACCCTCCTCACATTGCCACACATTAGCCACCACACTGAACTGTACTCCATCATCTACCCTATCCTTATATCCTTACACTTCTATTCATGCTGTTCCCTCTACCTAGATGCCCTTTCATCCTGTGACCACTACCAAACTCCTACTCACCCTTAAAGGGTCAACTCAAATGTTCCTTCCTCTCTGTAACTTTCTGTCCTCCCCAGGCCAAATCACCTGTATGCCCATGTGCTCTCCCAGCACTTATACAGACCTCTATTTCAACCCTTATCTTCAACCCATTTGCTTGCCTATCTGTTTCTCTTTCTAGATTGTGAGCCCCTTGATGGGGGAGCACATATCATATTAATTTTCCCATCAGTAGTGATTAGCATAACATCTGATACAGAGTAGGCATGGAATTAATGTTTGTTTATTTATCCATTCATTTAACAAATATTTATTGAGCTCATACCACAGCAGTGCAAGACAGGCAAGGTTCCTATTATCATGGAGCTTACGTCCTAGTTAAATTCCTGGAAAACACAAACAGTCACCAACCTGTGCCCTGTGTTGTATTATCATAGTATTGCAAAGAGCCATCAGCCCTCATAGGAAACACCTATTCACTTTACTACGTGAGCATAGGAATGGGAGGAGAGACTGGGGTCGGGGCTTAGACTGCTTAAATGCAGGCATTCACTCAATGCTATATCTCTCTAATATGCACTTAACAAGGCTTTAAAAATTGGCTCCTAAACCCTGCAGAAAGGTGACTCATTCTCCAGGACTCTGAATCAGGAAGAAGTGGATGAATAATAAAAATCTGATTGTCAATCAGAGGAAAGGAAGGGAGCAAGGAGGAAGTAACCTGAACTGGTCTGAAAACCATGCCACTGTGTGAACAGATGGGCCCCAAGATGGTGGAGGAGAGAGTGGAACATGGCCAGACACAAACAGCAACTAGCTGGCACCTACCTACTACTCCCCAGTGACCCCAGTGGGTCTGACTAGTGGCTCTTGGCCTCTATAGGTCCCTCTGCCAGTGACCGCAGCACCATCTGTAATGGCACACTGGCATTCAAGACTCAGACACATCTTCACTGCCTTGGAAAAAAATGTCTGTTTCCCAGGAGGGATGGGGAACATAACCTCACCACCTGCTCCAGCTGCCAAGTATATCCGAAGAGTAGAGATACTCGGCTGGCAGAAGGGTGGAGAAAGAAAAAGGACTGCATTTTGAGGTTGGGTTCCCTAGAGATATAGCTTGTGGTGAGATTCTTGTTCAAGGGACTTACTGGGGAAGGGGAAGGGAGGGAGGGGAGCAGGACAGGGCAGAAGTCAAAAGCTGGCAGGAATATGGTCTCAGCCAGAGACTCCCTTCAGCCTGATCCATGGTGGGCTCCTGAATGTGAATGGCACCACAGAGCTAGCCCCACCTTGAGGCAAAGGGACTGGCCTTGTGTAACCTGTTACCTATCAGTCATTCAAGGTCTGCGGACAAGACAGTTCCTGTCAGCTGAAGATAATGCTCCAGAGAAGGGGCAGCTGTGAGCTGTTATCAGCAGCCCTAACAGCAGCCAGCGGATAGGTGTGCCAGCCAGCAGCGGGGCCACAGTGTCCATGACACCCAGCTTTTGGCCATGGCTCCTGGACAGGGAAAGGCCTACAGCACAGAGGCCTGTCAGCACTCAGCGGTCTCAGCCTCCTCAGAAACCCTTGTTCCATAGTGTTTCCTTTGTGAAGCTAAACAAAGTGATCTTTGAGAAGACGGACTGCCGGGCCAGCCAGGGAGAGAGGTTGGGAGTGGAAGTGGCAGGCCAGAGCCAGCGGGCTGATCCTAAGCCCTGGCAGGGTCAGCCCTTAAAAGGAAGCCACAGTGTGGTAATGTCACAGGACTGGCACCCATCCAGCAAAAGGGTGGCTGAGCCTGAGTTTATAGGAAAGTCAGAGGAGGGGAGTGAGAAATGAAGAGAAAGTGTAAGAAACAGGAGGGAGGTTGGGAAGAAGGCAACAAGGAAGGTGGGGGAGGCGAGGAGGAGAGGGTGGAGCAGGTATTTCAGGTCAGAGGGAATACAATCACTCTCCTTATATAGCTTGACCCAGAGTGATGCATCACTCCGCTCCTCTCCTTTATGAACCAGCCCTTCCTTTGACATCCCACCTCTTCCATGAAGCTGCCCAGGCCTCCCCTCTCTACAGTGAGTCTCTCTCCGGTGGACTCCTATAACACTCCCTGAGGACACCTCACTTCCAGGATCTGGTAGGTTCTGCCTCGTGTTGTGAATTATCCTCAGGCAAGTTAACGAAGGGCAAACTGCCTTACTCATGTCTCTCTATCCCTCAACACTCCAGCACACAACACAGAACCTCGCTCACGGGGGTGCCTGATCAATCTATGTTCATGGATATGGCAGGTAGAAGAGTCCCTTGAGGACAAGGATGTGCTCCCTGATGTTTGAGGCAGAGGTGCTGATAATGTGCAACCACGAAGACCATGCCTCCAGCAGGGAGGAGATGAGGGGGAATGCCAGGGGCTAGAGAAATGGCCAAGTCATCGCGCTCCTGCCTCATGAGCCCCTACTTGCAGCAAAGAACAGACACAGGCCAGCAGCTCTGGGGAGGGACAACGGTGAGCTGGGCTATAAGCTCTGAGAGGTCACTAATCACGCGTGACCCCTGTTAACCCATATGCACCAGGTACCTGGCACAGAGCAGGTGCTCAATGTGTGCTCCTGAGTATCTGTCATTGGAGAATGTGATGATGGCACCACAGGGTCCAGACCTGAGGCCAGTGGGCACCCAAGAGCCCAGCGGGAAGTGGGGGAGGGAGGCCTCTGAGATGCTGCAGCGGCACCCTGGGGTTCCCTCATGAATTAGGCTGGAGCACATTGAGGATGAGCTGTTCTTGCACCGGTGGAGGCAGGAACCAGGGCTGCTGACCCAGGCAGCTTTGTTTTGTGGCTTCAGTGGGGCCAGCAGCCAAAGGAAACACACTCTGGCTGGGATCCCGCCCACACTGCCTCACACCAGACCGGGAACAATCAGGCCGTGGAGGAGTAGAGGGCCCCCCTTCATCCCTGGTGCCCCCAGTAGGCTATCCGTAGGCCTCTCCTAGGGCAGCCTTCTCCCCCTCAGTCCCAACCTTCTCCCCCTAGGTCTCCCACGTCCAACTTACCCATTCCCTTTGGTACTTTGAATATTATATAAATACTATTAAATATTAAAATGAACTGAAATTCCTGCCTCACCCCCTAATTCATACTGCTGTTTGTATATGTTTGTGTGTACCTACTCTCTCTCTCCCCTCATCTCTCTGCGTCATTTTTCTCCAATTTCTCTCTCAAATTTTGTTGGCGTGAGTAAAGGAAACAATGTTGTAGATAATAAAAACCAGCCACTTTTATATTACATACTTGGACATGCTGTGCTTTAGAATGACACAGATTTACCTTTCTAATCAAGCTTTTTTAGGCTGATATGAAAGTGAACATCAGCTGGTCAGAACTCCAATGCAAATGAAGCCAATCTGCGTCATGGATTTGATCACCATAGAAGCCAGTTATAATCTCTGTTCTATTGGCCACACAACACACCCATAAACCAGTCCCAACCAATCTGCAAATGTCTTCAATCTGTCTGTCACAAGAGAGATTAAGCCATAGTGATTATAGCCCAGCAAAAACGTATCCCCAAGTGCCCCAGGAACAACTCAGACTGCCCATTTGCCTCTGAGAGTGTTGTCAGTGTGTCTGCAGATAAAAGACTACATTAACATCAACTTCTTCTGGCTGGCGAAGTACCCCAGGAGTGGTCTTTGAGGCAAGGAGAAATGAGTGAGATTTGAGATTTTCAGTGGTCCTCAAAATTTTACTGAATTTCGGAATGAGAAAGACAACAACTCAGTATCCCGCAGTTAGAAGGACTCAAAATCATAATCCCCAATCTGTAGGCTGGGACTCTCTATGGCAGTGTTATCCAATATATGTATCTGTGCTGTCCAACATGGCAGCCACTAGCCACGTATGGCTCCTGAGTGACAGAGGAACTGAATTTTTAATTTTAAAGGTAATTAAATTTAAATAAAAATTTACTTAAATTTTAATTACATTTGATTAATTTCAGTTTAAATAGCCACATGTGGCTAATGGCTACCGTACTGGCCAGCACAGATCTAGAATCCAAAAAGTAATAATAGTACCAATAGTGATAAGAAAATAGTGCCGACATTTAATATGAGCTTATATTTTCCAGCCATTGTTCCAAGTGTATTGGCCCATTAAATGTGCTCTAATCTCTTGCATATGTACTACTATTTTCCAAGTCTTTTGTAATAAAAAGATAAATTTATGTAAAATAACTATTACTAACTTTACTATATATTCTGACATCATGTATTTTCCAAATCTATAAATACTAAACATTCAATTACTATCAGTCAGTGATTTTTTTTTTTTTACCTTAAAAAGGGATTAGTCCATATCCTCAAAAAGATTAGAACCAGTGACTTAAAATATTAGCAGAAGGGCAGATGAAAGAAAAGAACTACCTTCACCTTCAAGTTTCCCCACTCCTTCCCACCCTCTTATAGGAGAGAAGCCCCTGGAAGCAGAAGCTCATTTCTGCTTGCTTGTACCCCACAAGCAAGGACACAGGGAGCTGAGACAAATTAAAGAGAACCTCATTTCTGTCTTCTGCCATTAGAGTGGAACACCATCCACTCAGCTCTGCCCTTGGGGCTTCCTGTGTCCACCTCAAGCCCTGGCCTACGTTTCCAGAGGCTGCAGATGTGTGAGTGGGGGTACCGGGGGACGGGAGGGGTGTGGAGTTTCCTCACCTGAGCACAACTCCCCCTTGTAGCGGACACAGGAGAAGTCATCACACTCGCAGTACTTGCCCGTGATCTTGCCAAAGTCACTGGTATGACAGACGCACTGGCCACAGAGGCACTCTCCCCGCTGGCTGCAGATGGGCTGGCCCTCCCGGGGGCTGCACTCATCCTGCTGGGAGGGGTGGTAGTCCTCTTCCGAGCACTCGCACTGGGACCCCAGCCAGCCAGGCCCGCAGCGGCACACCCCACACTCAAAGGTCCCATTGCCATTGTTGCAGCGGTGGCTGTGAGGCTCAGCCTGGGCCTGGCAGTCACAGTCGCAGTCGAAGGTGACCTGGATGGTGAGGCTGTCTTTGAAGCCCACAGGCTTGATGGTGAAGGACTTCTCCTTCTCCTGGGGGCAGCCACGCACCTTGGCCTCAATGCTGAAGCTCACCTGGATGGAAAGTAAGATCACATTCAGACACAGGGTGGACCCTGTTAACACTCCAGCCCTGGAGGGAAAGAAGCTGTTCCCTGCCCTGCCCAGGAATACAAAGACTGGTGTCTTATCCTCCACTATCTGGAGTTCCTCAGCCTTCCCACTACCAAGATCTGCAAAGCAAATCAAGAGCCCAGGGATAGTTGTGCAGTTGTGACATTATCTGGCTGGGTGCAGAGACATGGTCTACAGTCATGAGATAGGTTGCTTTTTTTTTAATTCCACATGTGATATAAACCAGCTCAAGAAGAACACAGCCTGTGACCTCCTGAACACTCTGCTCTGGCCAACCAAGCTAGCTGGACTGATTACATAATATGAGCAAAACACACAAAGCCATTTTGCACCACACAGTGCCACACAGCTGGCAACCACAGGCTCAGAATCGACTGTTCAATTTCCACAGAACATTTCATCACTTGTGCAATCAAACACATTTCAGGCCAATATTTCTTACATGGGGTGTGTGCACATGTGCCTAGAATATAGACAGACAGATGGATGGATGGAGATAGATACAGATATAGATGATATAGATATAGATATAGATATCCTCCTCTTTTCCTCCCTCCCCCTTCATCAACCCCCTCCCCTCAGGCAGAAGCAGAGGGGAACCAGTCACTAAGGAAGGAAAGCCATAGGGGGACTAAAGGGGCAAAGTGAACATTTGCATTCTGAAATTCCATGAGGGTACCTAATTTTGCCTGTTCTATTTGCTGTTGAATCTTCAGCAACTAGAACAATGCCTGGCACAAAGTCAGTGCTCAATAAGTATTTATAGATGACACTGCCATTTTACACTGTGGAGGAAAGAAAGGCACTACCTTGAGGGAGGTTGGAGACTGGTTAGGAGCTGAAGGTAAGAAATATTTTCTTTTTTCTTTCTTTTTTTTTTGTGTGTGTGTGACTTTCTTTTTGTGTGTGTGTGCGTGTGAGGAAGATCAGCCCTGAGCTAACATCCATGCCGATCCTCCTCTTCTTGCTGAGGAAGACCGGCCCTGAGCTAACATCCATGCCCATCTTCCTCCATTTTTATGTGGGATGCTGCCACAGCATGGCCTGACAAGCGGTGCATCGGTGCACACGCCCGGGATCCAAACCTGGGCCGCCAGCAGCAGAGTGCATGCACTTAACTGCTATGCCATAGGGCCAGCCCCAAGAAATATTTTCATTTGCAATCAACTGTACATAAACAAACAGAGGTAACCTAAATGCAAGTTTTTGAAAATCCTGACGGTGAATTTCTCTTAACAGAGAAGATTTAGGCAATAGAAGCCTCAGAGGAAAAGGTTGGCAGCTCCCTTGCATCTAACTTGTAATGTGCTTCAGGAAGAAGGTCCAGGGAAGGAAGGGGTGGGGTGCCCACAGACGCTCCGGGGCACAGGCCAGGGTCAGAGCTGCAGCTTCAGCCCCTGCCCAGCCCACCTCACCGTGTCTCCAATCTTGAGTCCAACACAAGACTTGAGGCCTGGGATGACCTCATTGTTGAGACAGGTGGCGTTGAAGGATAGAGACAACTCCTCAGGGAGATCACGCACTTCCAGCTCTACTTTAGAGCGGATTTTCTGAGCAGAAAAGGGGAAAAGAAGGTAAGGAAATGGGTAGGAGCCAATTCCATCCCAAGCAAAATCTGTCAGGTGGCTCTGGACCCACCCTGGCAGTGCCTTAGCACCCCTAGCAGCCTATTTCCTGCTATATTTCCTGCCCAGGACTTGCTCCTTCTCTCTGTTCCCACTTGAGTCTAGGTGAGTCTGGGTAAAATCCAAACCAGCTACACCCTCCTATAGGCTTCAGGGAAGTGCAAAAGAGGAGTGCTAATGCAGGTCACCCTGGGTAGAAGCACTTTGTACCTAAATTTTAATCAACCTCACCTTCCCTGCAGCTCAGCTCCCTCTTTTCTCTATTGTGGAAGCCCAGCTCTCCCTCACCCTGCCCCCACCCCCAATATCAGGGCTCTGCTCCTTCCTCATCACCATCCTCATCCTCTCTTTCCTTCCACCTTCTCTAAGCTCTTGCTCCTAAGCATTGTTCCTAACACTCCCTGACACTCTTTTGTGAGCCATTTCTTTCTCAGAAGGCAGCATTCTTCCCAGTGCTGGCCATCTGGCTGGCTCCCATCACCTGGCCTCTGGAAGAACAAGAGGAAGGCAGTGAAGGCTGCTTAGTGGACTAGCAGCCAGGACTCCCAAATCTGAGCCCTCCTGGGTAATGCCAAGTGAGATAGACTCTTAGTGGGCCCATTCCCAGAGCAAGATACCTACCCCATAAGCATCAACAATGAGCTGAAGGACATTGCTGGAATTGGCAGACAGAATCCCCACTGTGGTCCCCGGGATAAGCTCACTGTAGTTCTAGAAAGGAAGATAAAGATGTTCAGGGCTGACTGAATGAAGGGGGTGGTCTCCAAAAGCCCTCCTCAAATCAGATTGAGGGTCTTGAAATGAAGACTGAGGGAAGGATGGGATATTTTACTTGTCACTGCCAGGAATAAATCTAGCAGTTTTCCAACCTTGAGAAAAATTATAGAGAACCCCTCGCACCCCTCACCCCACTGAATCACTCCCCTCCACCACCGTTAAACATCAACACACCCATCCTGCTAGGTTCAAGGTTGGAGGAGAAAGGCCAAAGAGAGAAATCATTAGCTCCAGGGAACAGGTCAGAGGAGGGTCTTCCCTGGTTGGAGACCATGGCCAATGCTAGCATGGGCTGGTGCCCTGAGACAGGTCCACTCATCACAGGCCCGCCTCCCACTCCAGGGAGCCCTGAAGGCATAGTCACCTGGTAGAGATTGACTACATTTTCAGTCACTGCAAAGATCAAATTGATGTTTTTCTGGGATAGCTTCTCAGTCATCAGCCCCAGAGAGGGATAATCCTGTGAAAAGGGAGGATGTAGAGGTTAGTTAAGAAGTCTATTCACGTACATCCCTGGATTCGAAGCCTTAGAACTTGGCTGATTTGGGCTGTGGCCCAGAGAGTAGTGGTGCTCAAACTTTTTCACCCTATGATCAACATGAGGAAAGCGGGTAAGTAGCAGCACAAACCTAGTTGTGAACTCCAGGGATGGATGAAAAGGTACAGGCTGGTGGTGTCAAAACTAAGCACCTCTTTCTTCCTACGTGAATTCAATGCATTCATACCATGGAGCAGCTTCCATGGGCCAGGTACTCTTAGGCCTCATTGTTTCAAAGCTTCCTCCTGTTTTGGAGGAGCTGCTGACAGATGGCTTGACTTGGTGCTTGCAATCCTCGACCATATGGTCTCAACCTTCCTTTCCAATCATTATTCACTCTCTCCGTCTTCTACTTACCACTGACCAGGCCCACTCTCTTTCTCCCACCTGGAGTGGCCTTCTTTTGGGTAATCTTCCTCCTTCCTTCGGACCGAGCTCAAGTCCCACCTTCTCCAGAAGGACTTCCTTGACCATCCCAGTTCATGATGAGCTTTCCTCCTTTGAATACCTGAAGCCCTTATTGACTGTGCCACCCATTTAGCACTAATCAGGCATTTCGTGTTATTGGTAACACATCTCCTCAGCTAAACTAAAAACTCACTAAAGGTAGGACCTTATATAGTCTCTTTTTCTCCCTCAGCCCCTGGTAAGGTACCTTGCACAGATTAAGTGTCAGTGGTGACTGATTCACACATTGCCTGGTAGTGCTTGACTTGGATATGGCTGACACCAAGGAACTCAAGCCACAATAGGGATGCTGGTGAATTGTGAACATGTCCCTGGGAACCAAGACCTTGCAGGGAGCTCATAAGATCATCTAGCTCAGGCTCCTGTCTTTACATAGGTGTACCTTTAAGCTGCCTAGACGAGGTAGTTGCTGTATTGTCTGTAAGAGACGAAGAGTTCACACATCCCCCAGATACCCAGAGTATCAGCATTCTGAGGGTCTGTACACTTCTTTTATGGCTTACAGTAATTTCCTCTGTTTCAATGTAAACTCCTTGCCTCTTATTTAACCTTCTACGGCCATAGAAAACAACTTACAAGAAGTCTTCTCATGTATCAGCTAAATCATCCTTTAGCCTTCTTTCTTTCAAGCTAAATAACTCTGAGTCCTTTAACCTTTCCTCACAGGACCAGCTCTCCATGCTTTGCACGATCTTTGTCTCTTTTTCCTCTATCATCTTCCAATAACCACAAGTGAGCATGGTATTCCAAGGGGCTAATCATGCACAGTAGACAGGAAGGCCTGCTTTCCGGCTGGACCTGCAAAAGTCCTTTGAGTCCATTCTGGATGCCATGATGCTGCAGGTGGTGCTGGAGGCAGTGGAGGTAGTGGTAACACTGACTACATCAAGGACCATTTCTAATGGTTGTGCAGGTTGTACCCTGGATGTGGGTGTCCAGTTGGTGGGGAGGGGCAGGGTGAGGGCAGGCTGAAATGAGCCCTGCACCCTGCCCAGAGGAAGGACAGCCATTTTCATATTCGAACAAAGATGGTGGGTTAGGGCAGCCCTGGCCATAGTGAACAGGGACCATAGGTGGTGTGGTACCAAGAATCTCACCATGGTAGTGGAGGCAGAGTAATGGTTGTCACTGCCAACATGACACTGCCCATCATTGGGCTGGACAATGCCTGCCAGCCTTCCATCCAATGCTATATGGGTCTTGGCATCAGTGGTAAACACCAGCAAGTGGGATGCATCATTCCTCCAGCCAATCTTCTCCTGTTAAAAAATAAAAAGGCAAAAGACACAATACAACTTCAGCCAGGTAGTTGGTAGAAAACAAAGACTCAAGGACCTCCCTGCCTGAAGGGCTGAACAAGTTGTCTTGGAGAAGGGCCTCAGTCCCAGTCCTTGGAACACAAGCTGGAGCTTTCCAACTCAGGGGTTTCTGTTCTCTTAGGAAAAGTCTCATAGCTGATTAGTTCAAGCAGCTGAAAAACACCTACTTCAACTCCAAATATAACTTTTCCAATGATAACCACATGGCCCATCTAGAAACCCACCTGTATCTGCAGAGCTGGGCTGGGCTAGAAGAAATCCCATCTGAATATCTTCCCACTTTGCTGAGGTTAAGTTAACCCAGGCTTGACTCTGATACACTTCCAGACAAGTTGGGAAGATGCTCTCCCCAGGAAATATCTGGGACCACTGGGGTTCAAACGATTGTCAACTCTGGCCAGGGAGCAGACAGAAGCAGAGGCTGCATATCAGGAGCAATTCATTGCTCATACTGTATGAAGCTCTGCTTAGTTCCTATCTCTCGTTTCACACAGAAATCCCCACAGTTGAGCCACTTCCTTCCCCATTCTGATTTGTGCCAACCCCACCTTGCACTCTGTGCCCTCCAAACTCACATCACAGACTGTAGCCTGCATAATGGCATCAAAGCCACCCTCTGGGGCATCTCGGTTCCGTGACACACTCTGCTTCTTCACCTCCTCATTGAAACGGGTCACCTGGTCAGTTAGCGTCAGCACGTGTTTGTAGCCAAACATGGGCAAACAGGTGGCCTTCATACTGGGGAGGAAAGGAGATAATTTAAGCAGACACCTTGATGGAAAAGGCAGCATGGGGAGTGGGAGGGAGAGAGAGGGGGACAAATATGGATAGTGGTATTCTCAGGCCACTTCTACACAACCACAATTACCCAGACAGTTCAGACTCCAAACCCCTCAAATTACCCGAGGCATCACATTGCCCTCACCTCCAGCTACCCCAGAGGCTAGGAGAGTAGGCTATGGAACTAGACTGCCTGGGTTCAAATCCCAGCTCCTCCACTCACTAGTCATGGGACCCTAGGCAAGCTTCTCTCTACCTAACCTATAAAAATGGGGGCAGATGGGGGTGTGATAGCACATAGCTCATAAGAGTTATTGTGAGGCTTAAATGAGTCAATACATGCAAAGCACCTAGATCAGAGTGAGGCTCTGTTGCTGCTCTTACCTTTTACTTAACATTTCTCTAAAGTAACATTAACATAACAACAAAGCAAAGGTTCGTCAATAATTTAATGTCCCTGAACACTAAATCTATCAATAAATTGATAGATCTGTGCCAGACAGGAGCATTTCGATCCCCAGCCCAACGGTTTGTTTGTTGAATTGATGGCTGACATCTTTATTGGGGAAACTTACAACCCAGACAGAAGGTTAAAAAGGCACATTTATATAACTTTGAAAACTAAAAAGTAAATTCATACCTTGTCAGGCTCAGTAACCATCATTTTAAATTATTATAACCCATGGATTTGCATAGTTTTCACCAATTAAATAAAACCATTCAGTTATAAGCCAAAGTATCAATAGAGGCACACTTATCAATTTATAGACTATTAGAGGGTTCAATAAATATCATTTCCACTTTTATATTCCTCTTGGACTTAGGACTATTCCTTTAGGAATTAGGACTTAATTCCTTGCATTTTAACCCTATAGGACTCATACTCTTGATGTTGAGGAGGACAATGATGACAATAACGACAGAATCAATCCTTCTGAAATCATAATTCCTCTATTTCATTATCTATAAATTTCTCTCTACTTTTGATCTCATTTCCCTCCCATTCTCTTGTCTCCTATTTATTTGTGACCAAGACCAAGAAACTGATGAATTTTCTTTTTTTTTTTTGTGAGGAAGATCAGCCCTGAGCTAACATCCATGCTGAATCCTCCTCTTTTTTGCTGAGGAAGGCCGGCTCTGAGCTAACATCTATTGCCAATCCTCTTCCTTTTCTTTTTCTTTTTTCCCCAAAGCCCCAGTGGATAGTTGTATGTCATAGTTGCACATCCTTCTAGTTGCTGTATGTGGGACGCGGCCTCAGCATGGCCGGAGAAGCAGTGCGTCGGTGCGCGCCCGGGATCCGGACCCGAGCCGCCAGCAGTGGAGCACACGCACTTAACCGCTAAGCCACAGGGCCGGCCCCAGATGAATTTTCTTTCGAGGTCTGCTAACAGCCTTGGACTCTATTGACACAACACTCTAGATCAACAGGCTAGCCCTCTTGCCAGACAGGAAGACCAAGGTAGAGAGGAGACGTGATTTGACCAGAAGGCAGCCACCAAAGCTACCCTAGAGCTAGAAATAGGAGCCAGGACTTGGAACTGCCTGGGGCAAAGGGGAGGGATGCTGCCCTAGGCTTCTAGAGGAGCGACTTACTCATAGCAGGGGTTTTTAAGGGCCTCTGGTGGGGAGATAAACATGTATGGAGACACAGGCTTGTCCACAAAGGCCCCGAAGCCAATCCGCAGGTTACTGGTGAGTTTGCGCATCTGGGAGGCCAGCTTGGTACCCAGGTTCTGGATGCTCCCCAGATCATCCTTCATGGAGTAAGACAGGTCCATCAAGTAGTAGATGTCCACGGGGTAATCCTCCACCTGCCGGACTTGGACGGAGAAACTCTTCGAATCATCTGGAAGGCAGAAGGATATTAGTTTTTCTTGTCTTCTCCCCCTAAGATTAATAAATGTATTTGGACACAGTTGGGATTAAGTAACTTCTTGATCAGACCAAACTTGAAAGCCTTGGTCCCTTCTCCTCTCCCCTTGAAATTCTATTCCTCTTCAAATCTCTTGACCCTCCTATTTTTAACCTCTTCTTTTCCATTCTAAAATTCTCCAGCCTCTCTAAATACCCATTTGTCTACTCCTCTGGGCCCCAAGGGTCTACCAACCTGAGTCACAGAGGTTTTGGCAGTTACTACACTTCAGACCCTGTAAAAGGCAGGAACTATGTCCCACCCTTCTCTGAATCCCATAGCACCCAACAGATGCCTTGCATGTAGAAGGTACTTTCTTAAATTCTTCTTGATATAATTGGAAAGTCAAAATCAATGCTTCCAAAAGCCTGTCTCCTAGCCTAATCCTTCTTCCCTCTGAAGGTCTCCTGCCCCTATTTTCTGTGCCCTCATGCCCCTGTCCCAATCTCTCATGGAAAGGGTGCTAACAAATTGCTTTCTCATCTTATATCTCATTTGAGCCCCAACACAAAGTTATAAGCTAGGTAAAACAGGCATTGAGGCAAAGAAGAAACAAACATTTTTTGAGTATCTACTATATTAGAAAGGTTAAGTAACTTGCTCAAGGTCAAATAGGTAATATATGGTAGAGTCAAGATTGAAACTCAGATCTTCTGACTTCAAGTCCCAACAACTTCCATTTTCTTCCATTCTTCTGCCCACGCCTCCCCCTAAATCCTTCTGTTCCCACCCAATTTCCATTGTGAGCTACTTCCCCAAGGCTTCCTGCTCAGACCTCCACCTTGTGCCCTGTGCCCATTGTCTGAGGTCTCTCCCTGCAACGAGCCCATTCCTACCTGGCCGCAGGTGGAGCGCAATCCTCTGGGGACTGACTTGAGTAATCTGGGAGCTGTCTCCAGAGCCCTTGTCACTGAGGGGCCTGTCCTCCAGGATTCTGGCATCACTGACAGGGAACTCGATGGACTCCGGGGCACAGTTATCCTTCAACAGATTCTCCTTCAGGTTACAGCGGGGTGAGCCCAGAGGCAGGGCCTGTAAGACAGGAGCCCATGGGAAGCCCTGTGATCGGAGCTGTGGTGGCTCTCTGCCTCCTGCAGGCTCTGCCATCTCCCAATGGCCTAGAGCTTACCCAGCACTTTGGAGTTAAACCAGCATAAATGAACTCGTGTGGTCCTTCCTAAGATAGTATCTAAGCCCATTGTACAGAAGTGGGAAATTGAGGCATCAGAAAGGTTGGGTGAAGTGCTTGTTAATGGGTTGGTAGCTAGGAAGAGGGTAAGTACAGTAAGATGCCTGTTAGACCAGCATTTTTCAGACTGTGAAATGCAACCCATTTATGGGTCCCAAAATCAATTTAATAGGCCTCAACCACCATTTTATTAAATAAAATGTAACAGAATAAAATAGAAAGTATCAAAGCATATAAATAGTAAAAGTAAATATTGTTTTGCGAAACTTTTATATATTGGGGAGTAGGGTATAACATGTATAATAAAAAATGATATACACAGTATTTCTTTCTGTAGGTCAGGGACAAAGCAGTTTGGAAGCCACTATATTAAGACACTGCCTAGGGTGTGAGATCCATGACAGCAGGGACTGTGTGCATCTTGTTCCCTCTCTGTTCCCAGCACCTAACCCAGGACTTACCACAAAGGTGACGGGGGAAGGCGTATGGGGAGGCAGCAGAGAGTAGGGCCTAAGAGCACAGGAGTAGTTTGGCTGAGACTACATCTCAGAATTGCCATTTATTAGGTTTTCTGGTTATTAGGGCAAGTCACCTAAACTCTCCATGCCTAGTTTCCTCAGCTACAATGTGGAGATAATAATAGCCCCACCCTCACATGGAGGTTATGTGGGACTAAATAAGACAGTGCTCATATGACATGTAGCACGGTGCCTGCCATAGGGTAAATACTCATTACATGTTAGCTATTATTATGAGATGCTCCATAAATAGTTCCTGAATAAATTAATGATGAACAAACTCCACAAGCTTGGGTGAATCCCATGATGCCAGCCCACTGACCAGAGCCTACCCTGTCACTGTAAGCTTCTTCCCTCACCCTGGACAAAGGGCAAATTGAGCACCCTTCCAAAAACCCTGGCATGTATCCCATGGCCCTCTGGGGCTCTGCGTCTTGTTTCCATCTGAGTACTGAATGGGGGACATGCCACGTTGGAAATCAGGAAACAGGTTCAATCCTAGGTCTGCCACTAACTAGCCAAGTGACCTCAGATAAGTCATTTCACTCCTTTGAGCCTCAGTTTCCTCACCTGTTCAATAAGGGGGTTAGACAACATGGTGTTTTCAGTCCCTTCCTGCTCTGGACATTCAGCAAATTTAGCCAGCACTGTGTGGGCGCAAGTCCATGCGGGCTCCTTGCCAAGGTTGAGGGGACTGGCCGGAAAGCTGGGAAACCCCTCCCTGGACCTATTTCACAATATCTAGGCCTTCAGAACCTCAATGCCCCCATCCCTACCCAGCCCCTCTTACAACCACTTCCAGAAGTCAGTTGAATCACCCATACCAATATCCCAGAACAACTAGTCTTAACATTTACTGAGCACTGACTGCATGGCCGGCATTGTTATAAGCACTTTACGTGGATCATTGCAATCCTCCTGATTGCAGTTCTGTAAAGCTGGAACTATTATTATTTTACAATTGAGGAACCTGAGGCCTGGAGGCTTCACAAATGACGAGCCCAATCTTACAGGTAAGAAATCTGAGGCTTGGAGACGTTAAGTAACTTGCCCAAAGTTACAGGGCTAGGAAGTGGCAGAAGTGAGATGCTAACTAGGTTCTCTCACTGTAATTATTCTCGTAAAATGATAAGTTGTCTGACATTCTGTATAGAGTGAGAACCAAGCAGAGAAGCAGGAGTGTGGAAGCAACAGTCCCAGGAAGAGCTACACCCGGGAATGCCCCAGGCAGGGAACAGGCTGCAAGATTGGGATGTGGGAGGTGTGGGAAGGATAATGTTCTGCCTCCTCAGCCCCCTCAGGTGACAGGGAGCCATATTTCCAGGAGAGGGATTGAGCCACAAAGAGCCACCCATACTCAAAAAATCAAGACTCTGTAGCCTAAAACCCCTCCCGATGCTCAAAGTCTCTCCCCCTCTCCTGTCCAGCCCTCCTCTGATAGGCTGAAGGGCTTCCCCAGGTGGATGGGAACATGAACAACACCAACAGTGCTAGAGACCGAACATCTGTGTCCCCCCAGAATTCATATGTTAAACCCTAACCCCTAAGGTGATAGTATTAGGAGGTGGGGTCTGGGGAGGTGACTAGGTCATGAGATGGAGCCCTCATGAGTGGGATTAGTGCCCTTATAAAAGAGGCTCCAGAGAGTTCCCTGGCCCCTTCTGCCATGTGAGGACACAGTGAGAAGATGGCCATCTATGACACCAAATTTCCTGGTACCTTGATCTTGGGTTTCCCAGCCTCCAGAACCGTGAGAAATAAATGTTTGTTGTTAAAGAGACTCAGTCTATGATATTTTTGTTACAGCAGCTTAAACAGACTAAGACAAATGGCATGAAGACCACCCTGGCCCAGGCAAAGAGTGTAAAGAACTTCTGGAAGCCAGCAGCTTCCTTCTTTTTCTCTCAGCTTCATGGGTATGAGGTAGAGAAATGACATCAGCAATGGGAAACAGTGCACAAGACTTAACCTTCCTGGCTCAAAAGATTCTAATAGGGCCATCATAGATCCTCCAAGTCTCTGAGAGATGAACATCACCTCCCCACACCCAGTTTTGGCTGAGGACAGAATGGCTGAGGGGAGGATTCATGAGCACTTCTGGATTTTGTGCCCAAACTCCTCTTGCTGCCCCTGCCCATCTCTCCCAACCCTTCTCCCTCAGGAAGTAGTCTCTTTCTTGCTCAAAAAACTCCCCACCGTATTTCTGATTCCAGCTGCCCACAAAGCCCCAAGGAGAAAACTTTCCAAAAAAGGCAATGATTGGATAGACCAAGAGGCACTGAGGAGCTGATCCTTTCCAGGACTAAGACAGTTGCTGAAGGAGAGAGGGAAGGGGGAGACCAGGAAACTGATGAGAACAGCAAAGCCATTGTGAGTCTTTAGGCTGCATCCGTGATGGAGAGAATGTTTTGGAGGGGGGTTTCCTGATCCCCATTTCCTAACATGACAGTGCTTATTAGAAGGTTTGAAGTGCCAAGCCTTGCTGACAGTCCTTATGGTTTGTTATGAATTTCGTTAGATATATAAACACTAAGAAACAAAAACTGTCTCCTTCCCTCCCTTTGTGGTCACTGACATCAGAGGTCAGGAACCTAACAAGCCTGCTTCTTGGCCATGCTCTCCCTGAGAGCCTCTTGTCCCAGGATACAAAGGCAGTGACCTCAACACACTCGGGCAACATTTCCTTTCTTAATAACCCAGGCTGAGAAGGTAGAAGGAATGTTTCTAGGTTACTCAGAGAGAAAACTGGAAGAAGGGGGGAGGACTATGCAAGCTCCAGCTCCCAGTGAAACCGGATGTTACACAAAAAGGGCAAAAATAACCAAGATGCAGGGGAAGATCACAGAGGTGGGAGGTTCCAGCCCACGTGCTGTGTGAGCTGAATTCCCTCCCTCTCCCAGGAGAGTGACACATGCTATGAGTCCCATTTTGGAAATTGGGAAAGTACAGCATGAATAACTGCCATTGTCCTACCTATCTCACAGGGTTGGTCAGGGGATAAAATAAGCCTGTGTACGTGAAATGCTTTCAAAACATAAAAATCTCAATCTAAGTCAAATATACTCAAATCCTTTTTTTTTGCTGAGGAAGACTGGCCCTGGGCTAACATCAGTGCCCATCTTCCTCTACTTTTTTTTTTTTTTATATGGGACACCACCACAACATGGCTTAACAAGCCATGCGTCGGTGCACGCCCGAGATCCAAACCAGCGAACCCCAGGTCGCCGCAGCAGAGCACGCGCACCTAACCACTTGGGCCACCAGGCCGGCCCCTCAAATCCTTTTGATATGATATAAACAAATAAATGCAAATAGAAGGTGACTCTTTTCTACTTTTCCCATTATAATCACTACTATTATAGCATACTCTTTCCTTGAACAACAAAATATGCCCTGGTACCTATTTTTTTCCCCCAGGGAGCTACCATACACCTCTAATCCAAATAAATTAACATTGTTCTGTTGATTGACATCCGGTGAGGACAAGAAACCACTTGAACATACAGTGAGAGAAATGTGGAGGGGACAGAAAAGGGAGGAAAAGGAAAGCATTTTAGTTTATGGTTATTGGTATTGATACCCCATTGTTTACAGGGGGAGGAGAACTTTCAATATTATACTTTTTTTTTTTACAATAACAAGTTGGAGCAAAACTCTCAAGATAAACATCCTCCAGATTAAAAAAGAGTAGAAAGGAAGAAAAAACAGCAGAAAAGTGAGAACAAAATTATGTTCATGACTAAAGAGGAATTAAATAGTGGCCTAAACCTTTCCCCCGCAGAGGTAGAGAAGAAAATGAGAAGTAAAAACTATAGGAGTCTTTTTCTGCTTTGCTAGACCCAAACCCATTCTTCTTCTTTCATCCTTGGATGTCAGGCTGAGTGTGAGCTGGTCCACTTTCTGATGTGCACTCAGGGCTACAGAAGAATTCCTAGTATTTACCTCCACCTTGCCAAATTCAGCAGATATTTGGGACATACTTATACTAAAAATTACTTGTTGTTTAATTCAAATTTAACTGGGTGCCCTGTATTTTATCTGGCTACCTTAACTCCACCTCCACCCACTATGACCCCAATGATCAGCCCCTTTGATTGGCAGTATTTGCCAAACTTGCTACCCTAACAACCCATTCTGATGCAACAGGTCCAGGGTCCACCCTGGGAACCTTTATATTTAACAAGCGCTCCAGGTGATTCTCACCACTAGGCAAGTTTGGAAAGTTCTAGATTCCAACATGGTGCCACTGAGTCCAAGACCACAGGTTGAAACTCTGTGTGAGGCCAGCCTCTTTGCTAGATTCACAGCCCAGAGACAGCACACCACCCCAACCCGTGTGTCAGTATCCATCCCCCCAAGAACACACCCTATGCAGATGGGCCCAAAACTCTGCACTCATCCACATTGGCTATGTTTTCCAATTACCCAGCCAAGTGTTTACTATACACACCCAGAGCTGCTGTCCTCTAGGACCAACGGAAAGCTGAGCCCAACCAGTTGTTTTTCCAGGCACTACCAATCCTGCCTGCAACAGCCAAGGTAGGGGAGGCAGAAGCAGAGGGCTCTCCGGAGTCGGTTATTCAACAAATCACATACAAAAGGCCCAGACGGTTCATTTTTGGTTTTTTATTTTATTTATTTATTTTTTTGTGTGTGAGGAAGATCAGCCCTGAGCTAACATCCATGCTAATCCTCCTCTTTTTGCTGAGGAAGACCGGCTCTGAGCTAACATCTATTGCCAATCCTCCTCCTTTTTTTTTCCCCCAAAGCCCCAGTAGATAGCTGTATGTCAGAGTTGCACATCCTTCTAGTTGCTGTATGTGGGACGCGGCCTCAGCATGGCCAGAGAAGCGGTGCGTTGGTGCGCGCCTGGGATCCGAACCCCGGCCGCTGGTAGCGGAGCGTGTGCACTTAACTGCTAAGCCATGGGGCCAGCCCCCATTTTTGGTTTTTTAAATCAACAGCCAAGGCACTTTCAGCAGTTAAACTCGGCCTGTGCAGGAGAAGCCCTCAGGAAAAACATAGCAGTCATGCTCAGGTTACAGTCTGGGATTCCGAATGCCCATTCCTCCCTGGTTGACACATCTTGCCCCACACTGGGCTCCTCTGCTATCCCTCCTCCGCTCCTCCTCTGCTCCTCCTCTTCTCCTCTTCCTCCCCTCCTCCTTCCCTCCTCCTTCCCTTTTCCTCTCCTCTTTCTTCCTTCCTCTCTCCCTCATCTCCTTCTATCATCCTTTCCTCCTCCCCTCCTCCCTCTTGCTCACCATAGTTGTAGTCATTCACTAAACACTTGGTCTCCCCTACTTTCCTGTTTATATTCCATTCTCCCAGAGAATATCTTATTGGACCTTCTATCTCGCCTCAGTAGTTTTCTTTGGTCCTAGAGGCACCCATTTCCTCTCTGACTCCACCTCCCGTTCCTAGGCTGGTCCTACATTATGCTTTGATCCTACCCTGCACCTTCTTCCCCTGCCCTCCCCTGGTCTGCCCCAGGGAACAAAATTCACCAGGGTCATCAATATATACTCTACACTTGCATCTCCAAAACCTGGTCACGTGACCTAGGGGCATTGTCTAGTCAGGCCTCAGTATACCTCAGTTATATGGCTTGCCCCTATACAGATAATAGAGGTGACAGACACTCCAAGAATATATTTTCTTTTTCCCCAGACTCCTCTGGGCTACAGCTGTCTCCATTTTCTCTTGCTTTGCATTGAAAAGAAGGAAGGGGGAGCATTCTTTGGATGACACTAGGACTTCTCCCCTGGCTACCCCTCTGTTCCAGCCAGCTTCAGGCCATCCAATCCAATACAACACCCTCCCCATTGGCTCTCCCTTCCGGGATTCAGTTGCAGAATTCCAACTTCCTTGTAAAAGAAGCTTAATAATATCATGATGGCGACCAAGGGAAGGAAGATACAGCAAACGAGAAGGGAGGAAGCCACATCATACTTGAGCAGCCAGCTCAGCCCAGAGGGGTGGAGAACCTGTGGGGGTGGAGGGGATGGACTCACCCCCACTCCCAGCCCCAGGGAACGTTTCATTTGCTAAATGAAGTCAATGTGGCCCAGATGTTGGGCAGCTGCCTCTGGAAGCAGTTCCCGTGCTGAAGTGCACAGAGGCCAACGCAGTGTGTTGGGCCGGCCTCTGCCGTTCTGGCAGTCCTCCTGTCAAGGAATAAACACAGCCTCCCAGCTCCCACTGCCCCCCCTCACCAGCCTGCCAGGGAGGTTGCCTTTTTAGGAAACTCAGCAGATTGGGAAGAGAAGAAGACAGAGAGAATGAGGGGCTGGGTTAGAGCAGTCATAAAACTGCAGAGGGCAGGGACATTCTGTCATAACAGAAAGGGTGCCACAGGTGGCTGAGACGCAGCCAGGCCAGAAGTTCAGGTAACCACCTGCGGGAGGCAGGCCAATGACTCAGCCTCAGACTCTGTAATCACTGGAATCCCTCCAGCCACACTCACCGCCCCCCCAGCTCTTGCCAGCTCCAAATTCCCGTCTCGGCCACAAACATAGCCATTCCCTCAGACACACTCATTCCCTAGGGCCCCAGACACAACAAACCCTCTGCCTAGACACAGCTAACCCTTTCCTGTCACCCTCTCATCCTCACCAAACTGGCCCAGCTCCTTCCCTCATTGACACCTGGGAGAGGGAAGGAAGGAAGGAAAGAAGAGAAAGAGAGAAGAAAAGGAAAAGCCATGGGAGCCCAATCATCAGAGATGAAAAGGGAAGAGATAAGACCCTCTGACTATACATCCCCCCACACAAGTGCAAGATTTCTCTTTTATCTGCCTTTTAAAAACTCTGGGATGTTTGTAAGCCAGCATCCCCCGTGTACCTATAACCCTCTCCTGCCTCTATTTTTGAGACCAGAGGCCCTGTTTCCCTGGAGTGTTCCACCCCAACAAAAAGCAAGCAAAGTGTGGTAAAGGGCAGCAATGGCTACAATGAGGCCAGGAGGCCCAACCAGACTGGCTAGGGCCAGGGGCCATGTGGTAGACTCTGGACAGCATCCCCAGTAACACGCCATGACTGCTCACTTAGACATCCATCCATAGGAAGGCTTCACGCTAGTTTTGCTCAGAAGGGACAGGGGACTTGTGTATTTAGGAGGGAGGAGATATCCCCATGGGTTTGTTTCTGCACAAAAGCAGCTAAGTCTGGGGAAGAAGTAAGGTCAGATGTCTGCTGCTTACCTCATCTGAGCACCAGGCACACATGGGACTCACAGCCAGACATTGTTGGCAGGAGCTCACGCCTCGTGTGATACAGATGTTGGGCCCTGCAACAGAGAGACAAAGGCATGAGCACCTGATTTGGTTTGACAAAGTAACTGGCCTGCCCCATCCTTCCCAACTTTCCCAAATGCCCAGGTTTACAGCTCTCAGATGCACACAAACACACCCTAACCATACCATTGGCACTTACCAAACACAGGCTATTTGGTAAGGAAGAAGAAGAATGAGGAAGGTCAGGACAAACTCATCACCACCCTCAACTGATGAGGCCACAGTGATGGCAAGTGACAGAGCAAGGCTGAGCCACAGACCCCAAGTGTCAGATCACAACTGATGGAAAGGCTTTAATTAACAGTTAGTTTGACACCTACATTGTGCAAATGAAAACCTGAGGCCCAGAGCAATGGTAATGTGCCCTCTCTCCAATTATTCTAATGATATTTCCACAGCCGCTACACAGAGGATCCAAGGCCCTGATGCACTAACATTAACACAGCCTAAATAGAGGGTTGTGTGTGTGTGTGTGTGTGTGTGTGTTTGTATGACTGCTGTGGATTGTCCCACTGGCTTGCCAGGAGAAAGCAAATCTTCTGAAATATTCTCAAGCTTCCCAATACATATATCTTGGGATCCAAGTGTAGAATGCTCCAGGGAAAACTGCAGAAATGTTAGAAAAGGCTGACTGATATAAGCTGGAAGAACATGAAATTTGAGTTGGAAGGCCTGTATTTGAATTCTGAATGCTCTTCTTACTAGCCGTGTCTTGACCTTGAGCAACTCAATTAACCTCTATGAAGAGATCATATCAATCTCACAGGATTTGTGCAAAGAATTCAGTGAGGTAAAGGAGCACTCCATATACTATGAAATACCATTCAAACGTGAATAGTCTTCATACTGTCAAAGGACAGAGAAAATGCTGGGGGGAGGAAGAGAGACAACCAGAGGGACCAAAATAGCCCTGAGAAGCCCAGCCAGGAGGCAAACCCCACAGTTTGCTTGGACAGAAGCCCCCAACCACCCTGCTTCCTCTAGCTCAGCCTTCCTGGCCTCAGCCAGGTAAGCCTCCTCTCCTGCAGTGCCCCCAGGAAGGCATTTTCCAATATGAGGAGCAGAATGAGGAAGACCCATTCCTCCCCATGACCCAGTTATCCTGACCGTTCCTTTATCCAGTTTCCTAAAGTGGTCCCTTTGCCCCCAGCTGGTAGGACTACCAAATCTATTTTTGGGGAAATCATGCTGACCATGGGGTATTTTCCCAGTGTCCCTGAAACTTCTCATCAAGCTGGATGTCTCAGTCCATTTTATTATAGTGTGACTAAACTTCCTTCCAACATCTGGACAAAACCATACCAGAAAATGTGGATGTATACACACACACACACACACACACACACACACATACACACACACACACACACACACACACACACAGTATTGTTAAGAAAAACTATCCAAAATTTGGAAATAGGCAAAGGGAATACCGGGTGTCCTTTCAATGTAATGCAGGGTGTTGACTCGTAGACCCACCATGCTTAGAGATTATGTGATTTTCTAGGAGTGTGTGTCTTTGTTTGACTTCTATTGATTAGGATTTTTTTTTCTTTTTTTGCCAGGAAAGATTCACTCTGAGCTAACATCTGTTGCCAGTCTTCCTCTTTTTTTATTCACCCCCAAAGCCCCACTACATGGTTGTATATCCTAGTTGTAAGTCCTTCTATGTGAGCCACAACCACAGCATGGCAACTGACAGACAGGTGGTGTGGTTCCATGGCCGGGAAACGAATCCAGGCCACCAAAGCGGTGAAAGAGCTGACCTTTAACCACTAGGCCATCAGGGCTGGCTCATGATTAGGATATTTTACACTCTGTAAGAGTAGAGGTTAATTTATACAAAACAAAAAACAATAGAAATGATTCCTGATGAGAACAATGTATATGATTCTTATCCAACAGCAAAGCAAATGACTTCTGTCCAGTAGAAAAGGTAACCCCCAAAGGTTAGAGTTTATTGCTTTGTAGAACATTAACCAATTTTGAATCTATTAGATAACTGATTTCAGCATTCCTGTGACTGACCAACCATAAATCTCCCTTCCTTGAATTCTCTTTTGAAATAATCTTAATATCTTATCAGTTCCTTCATTAATTAAGTTGAATAAAATCTTTGACACATGTTCATTTTATAGTTGTGTGGGAATCATACTTTTAACTCTTTGAAAATTACACTTTCACAGTATCCATCTCAGGGCTTCGCCAGGGGGCAGAAGGATCTAACAGAAAGGGTACACACACATTCAGTAGACTGTGGTCCTCATTGAGTCACCCACTAAAAATGTGGGCTTGGCTAAGTCATTTAACTCCTCTCAGCCTCAGTTTCAACTCCAACATTCCTAACATTTATAATTATTTATATATCTGCCTTAACAATACTGCCACCAAATAGATTTTAAGCCCCTTGAGGCCTGCCCTGCCCAGCCCAGCCCAGCCCCAGTCCTTGCTCAAAGGAGATGTTCAGTAAATATGTATTGGAACAAATTGAGAGGTACTGGACTAGATTAGTTTTGTTTTGTTTTTTAAGTAACTGAGCTCATTTATCCAAATCATGCACAGAATTCCAACATAAAACATGCAAATGTTGAAACAGTTCCTTAGACAATGTAAACTTTCACTGTTTTCCTAAAAATACTATATGTGTGGAATCCTTGAAGCACCTCGTGGAAGCCCCAGGTTTCCTCAGAGCCTTGAGTCTGTCTAACTTCAAAGGCCTTTCCCAACTCTAAAATTCTGCAAGTGGGATGCCACTATAAGCCCATGAGTGACCTCTGGGACTCCAGCCTCTGACTTGACTACAACCTCAGCGTTCAACTGCAAGGACTGAGAGGTGTGAATTATGACAATGACTCCAGGCCTGGCCCTAAAGCACCAAGGCCACCTCTGAGTTGGGGCAGCCCTCAGCCATGCACTGTCTTTAATGGAAGAAAGGTAGCCAGTCTTCCCAGAGCTGCCAGATTCAGAATGCCTGAATGTTCAGAACCAACAATGCAACCAGGAGGCCTCTCCCTACAAGGGCTGCCTGGCCATATCTTAGCTCACAATTGCTCTTTTCCCAGGCAGGTGTGAACACAGCCTCTCTTTAGTGCCTTACTAGAAGAGTTCTGAGAGGAGCCTAGCCTGAACTATTTTAGGTATCCGCCTATGTTTTTGAAGTTTCCATGGGAATTGGCATCCAGGGGGTAATTCTGGACATAAATGCCATCGATTTTCACTGGGGAGAGAAGCACAAGGAGACCATGCAAAGAGGAGAAGAGGGCCGTAGAAGGTCTGGGCACTATCAAATTATTTTTGAAAACTTTTCCCAGTCTATCTATTTATCCATCCATTCATTCTCAAATCAGCATTTCCCTATGAGTCCTTGACTTTTAGCTACAATAGAAAGACTTGCCAGATGTGAAATAAATAACAGCAGGCCCCCTCCCAGTGAATGGGCGGTCCTTGACCCCAGAGGAGAAGAGCTGAGGGATTTGTTCTTTAGGAAGTCACGCCCCGGGACTCATGGTTACCCAGTTTCCCTTACCTCCTCTTTGTAATGAATCACAGGTTGATTTCGGGAGAACCAATGATCCCCCTCCCTGATACCCCCCACCAAGGGCAGCTTCCCTGGAATGCAGCGGCTGAAAGTGACTGACTCATCACAAGTCTGTGCCTGGGCCACGCTGATTCAATGAGCTGCCGCTCCGAGGCCACCTCCCTCCTCCTGAACATGGGGAAGGAGTTGGGGCCTCTGTTTCCAGTCATTCATAAGGCCTATGTTCCCGCTCAGCCTCAGGCGCCCAGACAAAGCCCTGCTGGAGAAGCAAGGATCTTCCACTTCCACTTCCAGAACTTTGCATTGAAAAGAATTAACAACCCCTACCTCCTCTTCCCTCTGACAGTTTAGCCAGAGCAGGGAAACAAGATTGACTGGCCCTGGTCCTCACAGGGTGATCCTAAGGATTAAATGAACCGATGTTGTCAAACTCTGAGTACAACAGCTGGCACACAGAGGGTACTCAATTAAGGCTGCTGCTGCTACACTGGCTATTGTTTTCATTGTTGCTATTTTTATCCTGAGTTCCAAGCTGTTTAAGGCAGGTGAATGTTTTACTCTCTTTTTTTTTTTGCCCCTGAAGACACCGTTCTATAGGGCACTATACACACAGCTGAGTTTGCCCTTAACAGGGGCATGAGGGACGTGTGGAGCCAGAAAGCATCAGACTAGGGTAAAATGATCAATTGTCAGATCTAACTTCTAAATGGAGTTAGGAATGTTAGTGTTCAAAAATCCAATCTAAGAGAGATGGCCAAGAAGACAAGGCCAATTAGAAAAGACAGACAACCCCAGTCAAGAAATTTACCTGGAAAGTAGAAGTAGAGGCTGTGGTTTGGCACATCAGCCCAATTCACAGAACCAGAAGAGAGACAAAGGATGGGAAAAATGGAGAGAAAAGAGGACATGGGAGTTGGAACCAGTGGAAGTCATAATGCGTCAATGAGAGCTATTTTGAGAACATGTTGTTCAATTAGACAGGATGTCAGAATGCAGAACGTGCCACCCTAGTGAGGCCAGGGGACTTCAGCAGAGAGCTAGGTCAGAAGGAGAGGTGTTTAGTGGGAAGGGAGGATGATCCGTACTGCAAACACTACAGACATCTCTCTCACTCTGTCAGAGAGGAGTTCTGGCCTGGATCCCCAGCCCTGCCACTGACCTTTGACTGGTCACTTCCTAATTAGGTTCACGGGGATGGATACCGGCTGACTCAGGCTGTGCCTGATCTTCCACTGCAGTCACCTGGCTGGGTGACTCATCCAGGAACAAAACATCTCATGCCAACTGCCCTATGGACGGACACACAAGTGGTTTCTCCAGAGCAAGTTGTTAAGAAAGTTTATTTTCTTTTTGCTTCTTCATTAAATGTAGCAGCAGCACAGTAATCCAATGAAAGGGAAGGAGACAGGAAGGTGAATTCAAGGTTATACATACCTCTGTACTCTGAGCAAAAAG